AGTCATTCTTTGTAGTAATAAAAGTGTCTAACAATTGGAATTCTCTGTCTAAACGATTAGTTATATAGGTAGTAGATATTATACAAATAAATAAACAACCCTGAACAATTAGCACAGCGCCCGCTAGTTCTAAGGTAAGCAGAGCTTCTATTATGGGTACTAGACAACTGATATAAATATTTAGATTAGTTAGTTATGTATGTATTTACAAGTATATATATACTTGTAAATACATACATAATACCATATACGTATAAAATACCCAGATCATACAAACAATTATACTCATGAATATACATATATATATGCGGATTCGATTCAGACCATCGAAAGTAAAACACTGTGCTAAACAGTTAGACCACCGAGGCCGTCAAATGTACCTACCTACTTAATTAATCATCTCCAAATAGAAAGTGATCGGTTTATTAATTACACAAAAACGACTATAAATTAATATCTTCCTAACAATCAAGAGTACTACCAAAACTGGTGTACTTGCTTAAATCTTTTGGAATAAAAAGGAACTTCGAAGGTTGTGTCATCGGTCAAATGGTAGTGTAAGAACAGCAATTCTGTACACGGGTACAAAAATAAGGATTTTTGGAGCGATTATTTCTATATATTGGCCCCTCATGAAATTCTAGGGTTGTCATGTCATTGTGGTCGACTACGAGCGTTGACATTATTATTTTCAGTTTAAACGTCACTCAATATAATTAAAACCTATGTGCTAATCGTGGCGTCAAAATCACAGTTGGCAACTTTTCGTAATAAAATAAATAAATAGGAAAAGTTAGATTGGGACTCACGCACCGAAGGTTCAGTACAAATGTTGCAAATTATACAAGAATATTGCCAATGACTTTAAAGATGCATACTAACAACAAGTACTAATATACTGCTAAGAGCTTAAAGCAGTGAAACTACAGAATACAGAAGCATGTTAACTTAATCCTATATGAAAGTAATAATAATATGTGTAAATAATCTTTTTAAGTTAAATACTGTTTGTTAGATTAATCTAATGGAATATTGACAATTTCAATTACAAAACTACATTAATCTGTCAATTCTTCATAATTTTTTGTTAATAATTATTTTTGCATGAATCGGTGACAAGCAACTAATAACATGAAACGTCTATTATGAAATTGTTGTATAGCATAATATATGATTGTATTTTGTTCACGGAAATTATATAAGAAATATAGAAACGCATTTAAATTCGCACCCAGTTTTGTAAATGACAACATTTTTGTAATCCGTTCAATCATTTTATTGCGCTTCCTTATCACATGAAAATGGTTGAACGAATTGTAACGTCTTTTTTAATAAGGGCATAACAACTCGAAATATAATGGTGTAAATTTTGTCAAGTTTGTTCAAACAAATTATTATATTGACTAGTACCAGATATCGCCACTCCACAAATTAAGTCACGTAGATGTCTGAACGCGCGAGAGAAGTCGTGTTAAATTACAGTCGTCTGTGGCTGCAAATACAGTTAATCCACGGTATTATCAAACAATTACAAAAGTGATTTATTTTTGTTCTCTCATAAAATAAGAATTCAGGTTGAAGGAAAGATATTAAACATTTCAATAAGTCTTGACGTTTTTATGATGGAAGAAGGCTTTACTTAAATTAAAACGTGGCTTAGCTTAGGTGTAATGAGGTATTTAGAGTTGAATTAACAATACCTACCACATCTGTATTCGTGAGTATGTTTGTTTGTATTATTTTGTAGCAAACATTTACCTATAATTTAAATACCTACATATTTAGAAAAAATATATTAGAGATATATTTAGATAGACGGGCCGGACTCGGCCTCCATCGCCTCCACTCTCGCCGCCTGTTTGGGCGGACGGCACCCTTTGGTGCTTCCCATTCGGTGGTCAGCCTTCGCCGCTGCACAATAGGGGCAGTGCGGCGAGGGGGCGGTGCACGATGCGGCCTTGTGGCCATCTTTGTCCGCAGCGGAAGCACTTGTCCACCCCACTCGAACTTTACCGGCGTCAACCAGCCTCTTCACCACCCCTATTGGACCTCGGACCCAGAATTGGCGGAATTGTCTCCTCCGTGCGTTTCTCTTCCTCTTGGCCTCATTCTGGGCCACGTTCGGAGCCTCCCTTTGAGCGGGCTGGACGAACATGTACCTAGTCTGAGTCCCTCTAACCCAAAACTTGAAGGTGTCATAAAGATATAAGGCCCACTTTAATTATAAACGAATAGGTATTCTCAAGCTCAGGTAACATAAAACCTTTTACGATTTAAAAATCTGTAAAAGCTTTTATGTTTAAAAAATCCCAATAACAATCGAGATTTTTTATAGGCTAAAAATTTTAATGATTCAGCTTATGATGCTGGTTGTAGCACATATGTAATGTAGGTATAAATAATCCTAAAAACAATACGATCGAATTGAGAACGGCATTATTGTTGAGAGTTGATTAAATATAGGTAGTACATTTAGTAAAATTCCCTCTGAGTAAAATGTTCTATTTTCAATATTGAGAACACTTTTCTTCGATGACTTGTTCATTTTACAGACGACTCTAAAATAATTTCACCACGTTTGATGTTGGTTTTTATGAAACAAAAAATTATATTATTAGATACATCCTTAATAATTTTGTTATAGTAGGTACATATATCCGTAATATATTATTACACATTATCCGACAAAATGAACGTTCCAACAAAAATATAAAGATATACTTTACCGGAATGTGGTGTTTGATAGAAGCAAAGATGTTGTAAATATTTTAGATGGTTTGTTTCTTTGAGAGGCCTTCCTCACTCAGTTGTATCTAATCGCGTTAATGTCAAAAACTGAAATAAAACAAGAACCAAGTATTTAATCAAATTGTAAACCTCTTGGGCCTACCTCTACCTCCTCCTGTAAACCTCCTACCTTGTTTCATTTCCTGCTCAACATGATTGCTATAGATTTATAGAGGTTGGTGAAAAGGTGAATGAAATAAATCTTGTCAACGGATCGGTTTTCTTTTTTATTTTCAAGTTTGGTTAAAATTCTATACTAAATATTATTTAATAATATAGTGGAAATGGACATGTTTACCATATGTATGTTAAGAAATATATTTTATTATTAGCAAATCATTGTCTATATAAATAAAGAAACAAAAACTTTGTATCTCTTTTTACGTAAATTGCGTCGGGGGAGGGCGCCGAGGGAAGGGAGGTATATGGGATTTTCGTCGGTTTTTATTGAATACTAGAAGGTAAATAAAGTTATGCTACTTTATTCACGTACAATATGTCAATAGAAGGTACTACAAAAGTGCGTAAATCTCACATCAATTTGAAAAAAGATATTGTAGATACCTACTGAACTCCTATTCCTTGTAACTTCACAGCGAGAACCACTTGGAGGTCGACTTGATAAGGTACATTGCTGGCAATTAAGTCACTAGTCCCTATTATAAATCCCTCTGCCCCTACTCCAACGACATAGGTATACATACTTAATTTTATATAAACCACAACCCACAGATACCTACTGTTTCGCTGTTTACATTTTACTTAGCAAGGACAAAATATACCATTAAAGTAAAGACGAGTAAATACCATTGCGACAATAACAAATTTTCTTTCAGAAAAAAAACAGTAATAAATTATATGCATGGACACGATCATCACTTTAATATTTCGTTATCTGCATTCACTGTACTTAATGTCCAATATGGTTTTTTTTACCCACAATCGCAATTAATTTCATTTTTTTTTCCTTTTCAAATTTATCAAGAGTAAATAAAAATCTAATATAGCAATTATAAATTTTACACTTTTTACTCAGTTAATTAGGGTGGGTATATGATTATAAATACTGGAGACTGGTTAACCTCCATGCGATCCCCCTGGAAACCATTATGATTATTGCCAGACTGACATTACTCCATTCCTATCCTATCATCCTCCACTGGTCACACGTCAGCGGAATACTTTAACGCAGGCGGAATCCCCATTAATGCTAAAAATCTCTCAATAAATTGTAAAAGAAAGACATGTGTACATCAATTATTAATAAGGCTTCAAAAAGCAAAATCAAAGTCTAATTATACGCCTTAATCAAGACTCATAATCATCATCATCATCATCAGTCTAATGCAGTCCACTGATGGGTGTAGGCCTCTCCATGGGCTCCATTAATATAATAAAAGTCTTTATCATTCATTAAACTGTATGGACATGTTTTATCTGGTTTTTTACATCATACTTCGTATTTGTATTATTTAGGATATTAGTCGAATGTCAATAAGCATTATTGGTACATGGCTTGTCCTGCTCTCCAGCCGTGTAATCTACCAATTATTGTCACATATCGCAAGTATTCGTGCATGATGATGCAATGGGAGCCGACGGACCGCCATGTGTCAATATGTCACTTTGCATTTGCCACAGTTGATCGTGTTTGTTAATACAACACAGACACAAGTATGGACTACAGATTAATGGCAGTCCCCATATATCTGATAGATTTGATTAAATTTATACAAAAAGTAGGTATTATAGTAAACACTTTTGGCATACTCATTTTATTGATATTGATACTATTGTAATATCGCATATGCAAAAGAAACTGTCAATCTGCTACCATTTCACGATTAAATGACTGACAGAATTTTTAATTTAGACCTATATTTGGTACATGACGATCATTGTGACACCGACCGAGTCGCAGATAGAAGCTAGGTTAATTATTATTACAAGAATGACAATTTATATTTCTGTAAGCTTTCTGGTAAGGAGAATACATATACAAAATGACATTATCTCTGACTGCATCTGTGTTTCAATTATGAAAGTATGTATATTTTTATTAGCCTCCTGTAGTTTTCAAGTATTATCTATTAAAAAGAAAGAGTCACTCAATCACTTAGAGAAAACAGAGTATAACTGTAAAACTCATGAAAAGAAAATGTGGCGGATGATTAGAAAAATCAATTTAGTGTACAGTAATCAAAAGAAAAATACTTCATTAAAACGTTATATTTCAAATAAAAAACATAAGTCATAAACCATTACAAATTTTGAGTTAGATTCTAAACATATGTTTACCATACATACAAACCGGGCTGTAAAAACTAGATTTAGAAAAATTTCGATATTCACCAAAACAAACTGTCTCAATGAATAATCAACAGTCAAACATAAGGCCCAATTTCAGCGTCTAGCACCGGTTTTCGTCTCGGAAAACGCTCCATCCATCACAACATCAGTCATCACATATCATAATATTTTTTATTACAATGTTGCCAACTTAAAACATCAACAATATATTATAGTATAATCTAAAATATTATCTAAATTAATAGTACCTATAATAAAATATACAACTACACACGTTCAAATTGTGCTATTTACAAATTAGAATTGACACATGATTGCAAACATTGTAAATGATAAAATATAACAGCTATTCTTATAATAATAATTTAATCTCTACATTAATGAATATCATCTTTGGTTAATAATGCTTTTAACCATTCTAAAGTCCGGTCTTCAACACAAAATCAAAAGTAAATATTCAGTACATACGATTAAAATTAAGAATAAGTATCGATATTGCTACATAATGGCGTAGTTTCACTAAATCTCAGTAAAGACATAGCTTATCTAATCAGTCGGTAAATTGATATATTGTGGTAAAATATATATTTATATATATTTTATATATATAATATTTATTATTGTATACTATTTCAAAAATTGAAATAGTATACAATAATAAATACTATACTACTAACAGGTCCAGATAAAAAAATATATATTTGTAAACTCTATTTGAAGAAACTAAACTCTTGAGAAAAAAATAATCCCTATTGTTATTTAAATGTTAGTAAATGATACTTGCTTATTCCTTGACTGATGTTACACTATATAGATTAGAGAAACGTAGTCTAAGGAAATAGCGATAATCCCGCCCATTTCTATGTATTACTTGTAATTTTTCTTTCTTCTTTCTTAGGTAATGGATAATCACTTATTATAAGAAACGCATCTTATATTAAATTATTATCCATTACTCATGTTACGAATGCATTTATCAAGACACAAAACTCATAAATTAAATTGGATAGCCTGTTACGGGTAAAAGTAAGTCATGTATAAGTAGTATAAGTAGACAATTTCACCGAAATATCCGAAACGTTCCGTTCCTTTGATCACGTTTTATCGGTGCCCAATTATGTCTGTAAGTTAAATATTTAAGATTTAAGTCACAGAGTAAACCTTGACCAAAACCAAGGTAAGTTTTATTAAAATTTTGTTTTGTATAGATAATTTAAACTGTTATTCATATGTACTCATATTTTTAAATATATCTAAGATATTTTACTTTTAAACAGTAATAATCATTTCCGTCTGATTACGATTATCTATAATTCTGTAGTGTACAGTACGCACATTGGCAGCAGATAGTAAACACGTTTGAATATTGTCTAAGAGTATACACGAACGCCTAAAAATAACCATTTCCTACCGAAGAAAATGGATGCTAAGAAATAATGTTCGTATAACAGAAATAGTAATTTAGTGGCAAATTAATCTATTTGAAGATAATATTTGATTCCAGATAAAATAACCTGTAAGGCGCATTACTCTAGTCACGTATACTGTTTATAAAAAAACTATTTTTCCCCGCGTATGGCACATGATAATAGACTGCAACTTCGCTGGCTAGTTTATATTAGGAATGTATATACGTATCGTAAAACAAAATTGTTTTAGTCATACTCGAATCTGTCAATGAAATTAATGTCGTACAATTAGTTTCATTTAAATCAGGTTTTATGTAAAATATTACTATTTTACTTACTAGTTCTAATTTAGAATATATATATTGCAAATATAGTGTATACTATTCAATGGAAAGTTACTATTGAATATAGCATTTGTTCTACTACGCTAATCATGTTAGAACAATATCGTCACTTCTTAAGCAGTTTACTTAATATATCAATAGTATAAAATGATGCTTCATTTACAATATGGAAGTTTAGAATGGTTACAGAAGCAAGATTTAACAAACATTGCATTACAACTCTTATGTAATATATAACATTATTAATAAAATTGACATTGGGTGACGATTCATAATATAAACCAATATTCATTTTAATATAAATTACAAATTCATTTTCATGGCATATAAAAACTGGCAATATAATACATACGTACTTCATTACAATTAAAGCAAATTGAGGTTTGTAAGATAATAAACAGTATTCAGTGAAGTCCCAAAAGATATGCTAGTAGCAACATAATTAAAATTTAAAAAACAATATTGATAGTACCAAAATTAGTATGTACATAAATATAAATCTGATTTGTCTTTAAATTCTTTACAAAAAAATAATTCAAATTGATCACAAAGTGGTAAAATTTTGCAAATACATAGATGATTAAAATAAGGACCTTTATCTGTTGGTTAAAAATATACCCAACGCACTTTAACGAATTAATTATCGTATGCAGAATGGAATACTTTTAATAATTTAATTTATCCAATCCAAACAATAAAATTCAGACTCATAATGTTTGACAATAATTTTAATACAACTTGAAGTCCTGGTTATAAAATATGAGATTACTTAACGAAAAATACCTCACAATTATTTCATAATAATAATTTTGTAATTTATGGCAAATATTGTTCGTTTCTATTGGGCGAAAGGACAATGTTTACTAAAATTAACACCTCACTATCATTGCACTAAATTGATATAAAATCTCGGCAAGTATTTGTAAAAATAAGAAAATGCTTAGGATTAATTATATCTATACTTAGCTAACTGAACAATATAAAACAAGTATCTAAAATAACATTTACAGATTTAAACTTATAAACTACGCACACGGAACTTAAAAAATGCTTTAAAGGAACCAAAAAAAAGGTATTCGTATTCAAACGACTCGCATGACTCGCTTATTCCTACTATTCGTATGAACAGTACTATTCCTATTTCACAAGGAAACTCTACAGGTGTATAAATAAATAATATAACAATCCAGTCTCAAACTATGTTCCCTGTATTACTATTAACCTTAAAAAGTCATACATGAGAAATAAATAATTGATATCAAAAATCATTGACTTCTTAATTTTATTGCTTATTCTGTCAAATGGGTAAGATTCTACAACGCATGCATTTGCTTGCACCATAAAGTTACTTTCAGTCGTTTAAGATTAAACATATTTAACTAACATGTTTGTTCAATCAAGTTACGGTGTTTCTATTCTACGTACTATACCAAACACAGATGATTTAACTCAAACTCAAAATTATTTGTTAAAAGACTTATCGGCCTCTTGTGCTCGTCATATTTTTTATCATTATCCTAGTCCTAAAAGATAAGAACAAAGATCGAAAATACGATTAGATAAATTGTATTGGAAATAATTATATTATTTTTAGTCTCTTCGGTGATAAAACTAAATTGACATATTACAAGGATTCCCTTAATAATCTATTGATATTATATTTTACAGAAACAAAATAAAATTATGGCAAGGAAAATCGTATATAAACTATACTCCAGTTAACTAATGCGGATTCAAAATGAGTCAGACATTTAAAATAATTGTATTTAAAAAGAAAGGCATTGATTTAATACCTCACTTCCATAAAATGCATTATTAATATATTTCTACTTAGTAGGTACATATTCAGTACTGTTTAACTGTATTATAATTTAAAATAATCTACATATATTCATAAACTAGAGAAATACACAAAATTATTGTGCCGTCACTAAATTCGTTAAAATTTCAATAAAAAAATTACATGGCAAATAAATAAGTTATTGTTTAGTTGGATGGCTAAATCCATAATTATATTTACACAAAATAGAGTTCGCAATAACTCGAGTTGACAATCAGGTTATAATCGGGATTTATTTCTTAAAATGAATAGATTACACATCCGATTATTCCAACTGCTATGCTATGCTATACCCACAAACAAAATCGACTGCAATGATAGTAGAAAATTGTTAATATTAATGCTAAAATATTTATATACATAATAATTGATTCATATTATTGCATCGATCATCTACTGGAAAATTAAGGGTTATATAGTTATATGTACATGCATACTAATTAAAAAGTTATTAATCAATGACCTCTACTCATTAATATATTGCCAAGTCGACTAGTCGCAAACTGTTTGTCAAAAAATAGCAGGACTTACCAAATCTAAAATGCCAAATCTAAAACTTACTTTAAATAAAACTTTAATTAAATGGCAATAACAGTTAAAAAGTAATGATTCTAATAGCAATTACGTTTTCTGCTTTGATGTGGCATTAGATCTAAATATATCACCCAAAACTATCTTCATCTTGACTATAATAATTATGGTCAAAAATATATATAAATATAATATTATATATTTCTATAAAATTATGTTTTATAGTTAAACATAATGGCATTAACGTTTTTACATAGGCAGATCTAATTTTGTATTTTATAAACTTATTAGTCTGAAATCTGTTTGTACTCAATTAGGAATGTCTGGCAGGTTTGTTTAAGATCTGTAAAATTAGGACGCCGTTGTGGGTCTAAATCCCAGCAGTTTGTCATCAAACGCCTATATATCTCCAATGGGCAGTCACTTGGTTTTTGGAAACTGTAAAAAAAAATACTGTATAGTATAAGTATAATATTAAGACTTATTGTATAAGATGGTTGAATACAACGTTTTTGAAAGAGTTGTCGTAATTCAGAAAGTCATAGATTAAAACTACATCCTGCTTTTTATTTTCAACTGTCCATCTGTGTCACGCAGCAATATGTATGTATCTTCTACCACAATCAATTTTAATATATGCAGCAAAATGCCTTAAAATGCTGCTAAATTATAGAGTATGGCACCATGATACCTTAATGCTGACATCTGGTAGTATTAACGATTACCATTTTCCATCAAGTGGACTATAAGTTTGTTTCCCATTTCAGTCCCATATACATAAAAAAATGCAGCAAAGGTAAGAGCACAGTCTACTATGTTGAATTTAAATATGCTCAGTGAAACATCATGAAAAGCTAAATACTATATAAGCTTATACGTATACATAAGCTGTATACTAACCATGAGGCACGTTCTCGGGGTCGGTCGACGTCGAACTTGGGCACCTCTTGCCGGACTCGCGTAAATATTTCCCACATGGTGACACCGTACGACCATACGTCGCTTTTGGTTGAGAACAAAAATGGTGGTGTGGTCGACTCTGGTGCATACCTATTTATAAGAATAATAATTATTGCAGGCACTTTGCTATAAGGACTTAATAGTATACATACATATCAACGTAAGAAAACGGAATTGTCGTAAGATGAAAAACCCAACTTACCTAACAACCAAACGAAAAATTCGTAACTCGTATTTATTGAGATAGATTATACGTAATATACCAATTTTCAACTTTCTATATCGACAAATATATGACTAATAATTTTTTGAAATTAAAGTTCTCAAGTTACGACAATTCCGCTTTCTCCCGTCAATATGTACAAATATACTAGCCGGATATTACGACTTTATCTGCGCCAACACATAGCCTTCTGTTCCCATAGGATTTTCAGAAAATTTTCTCTTAGTAAATGCTAGTAAAAGTTGCCACTTTCCATTAAATGGGCGCCATTTGACGGCCCATTTGCAATTTTGCACGGATTGTTTACCATTCCAGTTATAAGAATCGCTAACAAAAATTATAGCAACACAGACTGCAAAAAATAATATTAAAGCTCACCAGTTGAAAGGTAGAAGCCTTTCTGTTTTCAGTTGGTACACATCCATGCCAGGTATACTTCGCGCTAATCCGAAGTCCGATATCTTCACGTGACCTCTATCTACGACTAGTATGTTACGCGTCGCTAAATCGCGATGCACTATTTTCTTACTCGATATATACTCCATACCCTGAAACAAAACATACGTTTTATTATAATCGGCTTCAAAATGAAGGATTTTTCAATTCTGTTTCTGTGTCGAATGAGTTTCCGCCTATACTTAATTATTAACAAATTAATTAGGTCATTTAAGGATTTTTTTTTTAATAAATCAAATATTTACCGTTGATATATCCGTTGCATATTTGAGCAAATGAGAGATGCTTAGTTTATCGCCTTGAAACTTTAGATAGTTATTAAGTGAGCTCTCCTCTAGATATTCCATTACTATAAACACGGTCGGGTCTGGAGTCTGATCGTCCCATGAGTAACCTAATATCTTCACTATATTGTCATGTTTCAAACACTGTAAAAGATAAGAAAATGTCATTGCTTAATTCATATAAAGATATTTATCATTTACAAAAATATTTAAATGTAAACAAAAATATATACATCTATAATATATTACAAATTTAAAGTATGAAAAGCCTAAAAAGTTAAACATGAGTGTTCATATTCCTTTTTAATAACAACTTAGCCATATAAAAAAAACTCAGTAATTCTTCAAATCAACACTACTATTTGCATCACAACACAACAAGCCTTGAAGTTACAAGATATTTAAATTCATGGTAATTAATACTCACTTTCATGATTTTTAATTCATTTTCGAAATCAGCATATGCGTTCAAATTCGCGCCTGACTTCTGTGGGGTGAGTTTCTTGACGGCCACAGTTGTTTGAAGTTCACTATTGTCATCCTCACTGAACATTATACCTTTGAATACCACTCCATAGCTACCCTGTAATATATAATCAAATAATAAAATTTCCATACATACATACATATTATCACGTCTATAATACCTGACGGAATAATCAAAGGTATTCCCAATATTTGACCGAAAGAAAAAAGTTCCATCGACATTACTCCAGTATAAAATTTGAATCCAAAATGGCAAAAGGAATACCAATAGGCAAGCTATTACTAATAGGCACACTATTGCCGTCTCTCCGATTAAATAGGTTTGTTGCACCCTTAACCAATTCTAAATAATCTCTTATTTCATAACAGGAAAGACTTTAATAAATTTTACTTTCTATTAAGAATTCCTCTTACGTGACAAATTATTTACTTCGTTAGAGAACTTTAGAACTTCATATTAACAGCTTTAAATGTATATGAAAGACTATACGGTAATTTTTACAAAAATCATTTTTTAAGTTTTGTATATTTATTCTTGCTGATCTCTAAAACTGTTGGGTCGATTTTGACGGGATTTAATCCTGCTTGATAGCTAAAGTTAACGAAGTACCTGTAGGCTACATTAATTTTATAAAATTAATGAAATAAATAGGTCACCACTATAATAATATTTGATTAACTTTGAATTGTTATATTATTTTTCAAAGTTGACTCCCAATATGAAGTAAAACAATTTTCGATATGAACATTCTTAAAAAATTCAATATACCTCTGAAATATTTCGACTGTAAATGATACTTACACCACCAATCTTCCCTTTGCAGCTAACGAGGTAAGTTGTACCATGCGACTCAATGGCCTGCATCGGCAAGGGCTTGTCATGATGCCAGTCATCCTCGCTCACCTTCAGCTCAACAGGGAACTCAAGCGGCTCTCGAGGCACGCTTGATACGTCCTCGTTTGTTATACCTACCGCCAGCTGTAAATATTTTTTATGGGTTATTATGGAATGATGCTCTCGCCTGCACTAATAATATACTACTTACTCCACTGGTGCCCAGTGGAGTGTACCTAGATACCTGGAGGGTGATACAATTAGATGAGCATGAGGCCAATTGTGACAAATTCACTAGAAATTTATCTCTATTTCTTTCTTTTACTGTACTTTTTTATTGTATAGCCCTATCTACTGCTTATTGCATGCATCTATATAAATTATATAGCTTTTAGGCATACATAGTGTTGGATTACAATCCAGTTTCGTACCAAATTACACGGTCCTATTACAAAATATAATTATACTTACTCTATTTCCATTTGGCTGACGCATCGTACCGCCATTCATAAATATTGTACTGCCGTTGGAGATCAGTGATTGGTTACTGCCCGCGTCACTTTGATCATTACAATTATATTTGTCGCCTAAAAAATAAACATTCAAATAAACATTCTGCAATCCTCTATATAAACTATAAGTGTGCCAAATTTCACACTGCTTCGTCCGCGCAATTTTCGTAAAAAGGTGTACAAAGTTTTTGCTTCATGCATTAATACAATAATAAAAAGATAATTTAGACAGGGGCCAGGTAAACAGTGATATACTTTATGTGCATTTTTTTAATAAAAGATAGAGTATGTCCGTCCTTGTACCACAATCTATTTTCGCGTCTTTAATTAAGATCCTACACTGCATAATTATGTGCAGTTCGGGAAGTATGTTACAATTAAACACTTACTTGCTATAACTGTGTTCATGGCTATGTTATTGGTCACCTTAGGTAGTTCATATTCGTGGATATTGGCATCCTCTGAAACATAAAACTATTTATAAACCAGTGGCATGGTGCTATAGCGCCTCTTTTAATTTTTTTTTATGATAATGGAATGGTGCAACTACCCAAATCTCATGGAATCAATGGAATCAATGGCTTACGCTGGCGGGGCGCCAGTGGAGGATGATAAGATGAGCATGCGGTAAGGTCAGTTAGCCCATCGTGACAAATTCACCAATAATTTATCACGATGGTTTCCAAGGGGGGAACCGCGTGGAGGGCAATCTGACATGGTAGATAACAATCCCTTCCCCCCCCCCCTCTTTTTAGCATTTGATTACACTCATGAAGTTCATGACATAATAATTATCATTAGTGGGAAAAGATGAATTTTGATCATCAAAGTATTGGCGTTGGCGTACCTCTGTATAGCATATGATTCAGGTCCCTCATTATCTCCTGTGGGCGCAACGGGCTGGACTGCCAGCACTGTAGCACCAGTGTCCATACCTCCGGCGGACAACACCGTGGCTGCATCAGCCGGTTGCCTCTTTTGTAACTCTGTTTATAAATAAATGTTACTTATTCATCACAATATCAATTTATTTAGAAGTTTACTTGTTTCTGGTACTACAATGTAGTGTACTTAAGATTTTTAATACGGCGATTAATATTACTTTACATATTAGTAAATTTTTTTTTCTTGGTCCTATACCAACAAAATACTGACTTATTTGACGATTTTCATATTATCATATTTGAGGATTAACACATTACATTTCTGTGCCCTGTAGATGAGTTTCCAAATCTCAGTCTTTATAATCCAACAATCTTACAAAGAATACAAAAGCAAAATAGTAATTATAAAACAAATATAGAAAATGGAAATATCAATATAGAATACTCACAATAGCAGTCATAACTGGATTGGTTTCCAAAGGAGATAGCCCATTCGAGAAAACCTCCCAGATAGTGGTCGCAAACGCCCATATGTCGCCGACAACTGATCGCTTCGCCAGATTCATGTCATCAAAGAATTCTATGGGCATCCAATGTACACTGAAAAATAACATTATTATATGAAGTGCAAAACATGTCAATATATTATTATTTTACTATGTATTATTATAAACGCGAAAGTTTGTGAGTTGGAATAGATAGATGAATGAATGTTTGTTACTCTTTCACGCAAAAACTACTGAACGGATTTTAATGAAACTTTACAGTAATATAGATGTCAAACCAGGCTAATTAAAAATTATAAAAACTTGTAACATGCTAAAGGAGAGAGAGGAGAGAAGCATATTGGGTTATAAAAGAAAACTCCGATTGAAGTGTATGTGTATGTGTGGTCTCATACTTAGAGGAAGTAATAAAACTGAGTGGATTCCTCGGTATAGAACGAAGCGAAAAAGAGGAAAATAGTACAAAAGATGGTCAAATTATATTAGAAAAATTGCTAGCTCACTGTGGCTCCGATTAACATTATGGAAGACGCTGGAGGAGGCCTTTGTGTCTAAAGGACACGTTGACTCAGAGACTGATATTTATTGTATCTATTTAAACTTATAAGTAAATACTTGCGTTATATTGTGTAATTATGTGTAGTCAATTAATAAAGGTTTTGAATTTAAATGTGTTAAGGTTGAGGGTAATATTTGAGGTATCTTACTCGTCAGCTGTGTAAGGACGCAGGCTGGGCCCGGCCAGCTTCACGATGAGGCGATCAGGCGCAGCCGCCGCTAGAAGCAGACGGCGACAGCGAAGTCGTCCGTGCACCACCCCGGCCTCTGATAAGTCCCACAGAGCGCGCGCCACGCTCGCCGATACCTTCAGCAGCTCGGTGGCTTTTACTTTGCCAACATTGCTCCTGTACATAATTTATTATCAATTATCAACACATTTTATTATCAATTTCACAGCATGACAATATTAAGACAGCATTATATATACATAAAAAAGTTTCGGAAGGAAACTTAGGAAAGCGGTTTCGTAAACCGCCTTACTTTCGATAACCGCGGGTTCGATCCTTCACACGGTACAAACCTTTTTATTTGTGGGTATATTGTTTGTATCGGTCTAAGTATTTTCTATGTATATTATGTATGAAATTTACAAAAAATGTATAGTACCCATAATACAAACTTCACTTAGCTTGGGACTAGATGGCCCTGTGTGAATTATCCAGGATTTTTATTATTATTATTTTATACATTAAAAGTGACCGCTTCACTTTCATGAACACATTTGCGCCCGAACTATGGTCACTGATTAGGTAAAAATGAGAAATATTCATATTGTTTAGTAATTACTAAGAAACTTACTTGAGGTACTCGTTCAAAGGTCCATACGGCATATATTCAAGGACGAGTGCAGTAGGAGAATTGAATGTCATGCCATATAACCGTACTATTGAACTTGACTGGATGTTTACGTATTTGCTCGCCAAATTCATAAAGCCCTGGGCAAGTAATAATTGATTTCCTTAAGTATATATATCTTATTTACAGAGAAACAACAATAATTTTATTTTTAGGAATAATAAATGAGTACCATTTTACTTTTCGTAATTCAATAAAAAGTTAGATTCGTATTCGTATTATCATTTAGTATTTTCGATAGTACTTAGTATGTCTAAAAATTTTGATGTTTGACAAAAGCTTAATAATTTATACTATACACAGTAGGTATAATGATCAAAAAACACAAAATGAATACGAAAAGATTGTTTTATAACGAAATTACAGAATTTATATAAAATAAATAATGACAGTAATATAAAATTACCTTTAACTGTTCATCTTTTTGTAGAGCCTTGAACGCGACAATAAGTTTCTTAGTTTCGTCTATTTTCCAAATTGCTTTACACGTCATCGTCAAATTACCCGCACCGAACTTCTCCGAACCTGTTACACAAAACATTGCGATTCAAATCTGACCATGTTTTAAGTGCCTTAGGGTATATCTGGCTATACTATTATTATAGCTACAGTAAATATTATTATAAGTTTTTATAGTAATAATTAAAAAAAACACATGAATACGACTTGTAAAAAACTTGTATAGATGTGTATAACAGTAGATAAAGAAACTAAAAGAACGTGTTTAAGTTGAAATTGAAGTTTTAAGGAACAGTATTATCGTTTATTTACTAGAAATTATTTAATAGTTAGTTATAATGTAAATAAAATACCTATATACAAGTGAATATCCTTATTAAGTAGACAACGTGGACTTCTGTTGGTCTTAAGTGCTTCCGACAGTTCCGACTGGTCTATATGTACACCCTGTCTCTCGGGTTTACTACACAACAACACTTGAGATTCATCTGTACAAATAGAAAATTGGTTAAAAACATGTGGAATTACAATATTGGAATGGAAAACATACTATTAATTCTTTTAACGGAAAGTGGCAATAGTGTTTATGAAACATGAACAACGCTATGGACATCATGTGATTCTCGTACTACCCACCATTCAAGCAGCGACATTCGAGAGACTAAGATGGCCTGAAATTATATATCATCCATCAAATCGGAAAACAGTTTAGAAAGCAAGTTTGCTTGCCTTCAAAAATAAGTGACACTAGTCAACTTTACAGGGCAAGGTCTTTAGTGTACAATCAAAAGCGCGCCAATTTAGCGCAGCAAAACCTAATAGCGGATTCCTGGGTGATTGTTTTTATCTATTGCTACTGTTCTCTCTCGCGCGTGATTGATGAAAATTTTATATTATATTCCAAAGATTTTCCAAAGACACGTTTCAGACTTATGAATAACTTTATAATTATATATTTGCCATAGTCAGATGTCCGCCATTTTGCAATTAATTACACGCACGATTGATGGACAACGGCGAGTAAGCGGTGCGCACGCGTCTTTCGCTTTCTTTTTTTTTTTACACTTTTTGCGTTAAAGCGAATTCGCACCTGAAAGAGCGTATATATAAAGACAGCTAATGGTACATACGCAAACTGCCTTATATTGTCTACCTTAGTAAACTAGAAAATATATACTAGGTAGGTATATAACACATACCATATTCAGATGGAGGCAAACATTCATTAAGGAATATTCGCCCTTTAGAGACTTTGTGTTGGCTAATAATACTTTCGATGCTGGGGTACTCTTTATTTAGAAATATATAGCCATGTCCCTTAAATTCGATTTTGTATGTCTCTGGCGTGCTGCAACAATAATAGAAATTTAATAGTTATATTGTACTACAACTAGCGATCCGCACTGGCTTCGCACGGTACTTTTTTGTAGATAACAAATACTTTTAAAAATTAACATACACTATTTAAATTATCAATGAGTGTATTATTCATAGATAAATTAGGTCAAAATATGAAACTACTATACAGGTATATTCTCAATTCCTCTCATATGGTCTTGCCCCTTCCCAAACTCTTTAAAAAAAGTCGTGCGTCGTCGGAATTCGACAAACTATAGTTAAATTCATTAAATTCTAACATATAAAATCTTTCCAGTCATATGAAGATCAGAAAATGAATTATATAATATTATATGCCTACTTTGTATATTGTATATACAAAGTTGACACTGATAATTTGTAGACAAAGATAACAGTGTCAGAGACCTGTATAAATTCTAACATTATAAATACGAAAGTGAGTTTGTTAGTCATTATGTAGCATGAAATTTTCTATATTTGGGATGCACATAGGTCTCATTTTATTTCTTAAAATCATTTTCATTTTGTTTATACGCAAAGATACATAAAAACAATCTCTTATTTTTTACTACTATTTGTAATAATATAATAATATTTATTGAATCATCGTCAATGTACAAGTTACATCAATGAACTAAGGCTATTTTTCAGTCAAACATTTAAACTGTATATCAGAATTTCTTAAGCAATATTTGTGTGTTTGATAGTGTGGCGGACAGCGGTAGATCACCATCAAGTAAACATTTGTATTTCGTTAAACATTTACAGTACATGTTTCAAAATAAACTACAATGTGTATATTATCTTGGCTTATCATATCTTAAACTTATTATGCTAAATAAATAGTGCAATTCCGTACCTGTTTTTATTACACGCATCCAAATAAAATACGTTGTACTCCTCATGACACTGTCGTAGCAAGTAACATCCATGTTTGTTTGAACACTTTACTTGTAATTTACGATATGAAAATGCGCCCCTGTAAAATTATATTTTTAATAAATTTTAAAGTATACATAGATCTAAAGTACTACTGTACTAAAGTTACTTAATCAACATTTACATTGATTCTGCTAATGTGACCTGATTAAATAATTACTGCATTTTAATTATATTTATCGTAGTATTTTGTTTAAAATATATCTATTTTAAGAATTCTAATATCCATTGAGAAAGAATAGACAAACCTAATGCCAAAAATACTGTGCTTCCTTTCGCCTTTACGAAATGTACAGTCCATATACATTGAGTCTAGGTAACATTACAACAAATAACAAAATACATTATTTCAGTAAGTAGTAAAAAGGTAACGGGCGTGAATTTAATTTAAATTGTAAGATCTGTTTATGTAAATATTTAAACATATATGTATTGTCTGAAAAAAATAATAATCAGGAACATAGCGTGACCGGGACAAAAATTTTGATAACTCGAATTTATAAGTCTTTTATTTCAATATCTGAAACGTTCTTATCCCTCAAAATTAATGTCACACATAAATTCTGGGATGCTATTCTGTCTGTAATTATCTTGTTAATGTTCATTATAAATTTATGACTTACCCAACAGGGCCATGACACTTCAGTCTATATAATTCTTTCAACGACGGCGTTTCGTCATCTTTCGAAAGGTTGAATGTCCATTTCACCATTAACCTGTAGTAACCATCACAGATGGATATGAAAGACGAAAGCTGTTCTTCAGTCTTGAATTTAAAATACAAAGGTGTTCCCTTTCTAGACACTTCCAAAGATAGGTCTTCTTTCCTCATTAAATAAATTAAATCGTCTATGATGCATACATGAACACACTGGAAAGGAAATTAAAACATTAAAAAATTTGTAAAACCTTTTTTAGCAGAAAAAATTATAACACTCTGTTTCTACTTATGCCATCGGGGGCTGTATATACATATACATTCCAGGTTTCAGTTTGAAGAGTGGTTGCGGAACTATGAATACACATCAAGTTAGTTTTATTTTGCGATAGTAGATCAAGTCGTCTTATTTTGAAAACCTTCTCATATAAAGAACGTAACTGTTCGTAACTGTGAAATAAATGCAGTAATCTGGAGATAGTATCCTTCATACTTAGAAGTATAAAAGTCCATAATTTATTATTGTTTTTAAGGACACATTGATATTTCATTTTTTTAACCGTCCGTTGTCCGTGTCCACCCTGTTCTGTCAGAGCTGGTCATCACTGAGACCCTCCACTCGACCGCCTCCACATGTGTGGCGTTATGTATCGATACCTCTAATGATATGTTTACAGACCTATGGACGTCTGGATACAGGGTTTCTGCTATTGACTAAAAATATATAAACTAAAACAAGCCACTTATAAGCCACAAAACAACTACAGACATAGTTATTATATACACAAGTGTGCATGTAAATTCAGCTTTTTAAGAAAGTATATAAGGTACTTATATCAAAAAAATCATTATTAAAATGTTTGTCTGTCTGTCTAGTTGTCCTTGCTAATCTCTGAAACTGCTGGACCTATTTTGACGGGACTTTCACTTCCAGATAGCTATTGTTATAAGGAGTACGCGCACGCAGGTAAAGTCGCGGGTAACAGCTAGTTATTAAATATGATAATAGAATACTTAAGTAATAAATACACACCTCCCTTGATGCCGTATTGTAGTACCGGATACCAGGATATTGTTGATGAAACGGCGCTACAACGACCAGCACATGAACCACATCGTCACCATTTTGCAATAATACATTATGGAATTCCTCTGCTAAGTAGTTTGGTGCCAAAGTATACAATTGTTCTAGGTAACATGTTTTAAAATGGCTGAAAATTCGACAATCATTTTAACATATTATATATAAAAATTCCTTCAACCAATCAATTTCTGCAAATGCACATCTATTTCTCCACATTCATCAAATTATTCATATGAATTCACTGTTGTAACAACATTAGCATACATTAGTACATGCATTATAATATACATATTTAAATAAATACATAATAATTTAACTAATTCTATATCAATATAGTTCTCATACTCTCAACACAAATATACAGACCAGACTGACTCTCTAACCTAATCCTCCTCCTTCTAATCCATTGGCATCACAGCTCTTGGAGCCTTCTCACACAGTCAAGAGACTGGAGAAGAGAGAGGAGAATTTACTGTTGAAATGCAGAAGCTGTGCTCACCTCTGCACACAACACTTATAGTCTTGGGACTGATCACCGATTAAAATAGAAAAAAGAAGTTCTCATACTCACTGCACAGTATAACCTTGGCGGCACAGTATAGGAACATGAGTATTTGCACGTTTTTTAGGAAATGGGCCATGTTTCTTCATTATAATCTTGGGGATGTATTTTTTCCTATTTCTAATCACATCAGTCAGTGACAAGTTTTCCTCTGTCTTCGCTCGACACCTGAGACAAATTATTATTGTTATTGTTCTCATACTTTATGGAATTAGGTGTGTTTATGGAAGTCCATTTAATTACTAATTATTATTTTGTTTAAATATTGTTTTTAGCATGTGTGTGACTGCGAATATTCAGGGCGGTAACTTTACCACCATTACTGAAAGAGTTACAACTGTCTGTATTGGTGGATAGTACCTTAGAGGATAGAATAGCCTAGTGTTGACAGCTGACATATTGAAAGCAAATCTTATTAATATTATAAACTGCAAAACTTTGTATGGATGAATGGATATTTGTTATTCTTTCACTCAAAAATTTCAGAACATATTTTGATGAAACATTACAGTAATATAGCTTACACTTCAGAATAACACATAGGGTTATAATTCAAAAAGATATTATGTAAAATGGGCGAAATATAATGATACATGACAAATAAGAGTGGTCAAAATGAAATTGTGTGGGTCAGCTACAATATATACATGTGTAAAGTAATAAAATTATTTATAAGCTTACTAACACTTTTGAAACTATTTATTATTAGAAACTTACATTTCAGTGATGCCTAATCCCAACAGTTGCTCTTTATATTCTGGATATTTAATTTCAGGAACTTTATTTTCATTTATATCATTTCGTGCCTGTTGAAAATAGTAATCAAAAGTCTTCTCATCCAATAACCTATTAAGATTCGACTTGGGTACCTGGAATTAAATTGCATTATTAATATAATAATAATAGCTTTGACTTCATCCCATCATTTGGGGTTACTGCAATGTGTCATTTCTTAAAAAATATATATCCAATATATATAAAAATTGTTTCTATGTTGTAAATTATAATGCACAGTATTAATAAAAGTAAATATACACTTGCATTTAATAAAAATTTAATCACTCAAAATAAACAAAACATACTATGTATACAATTTCAATTTAGCTAAACTAAAGGTAATTGGGCTAAACCCACAACCTACAGAAAAAAACAATAGCGTAGAAAGTTTAGATAAATATCTCTTACGAATATATATGTCGCATTAATGCAGACATTGGGGTTCAGACCAAACTATGAAAAAGAAAAATAATATATTAACATTTATTATAGTAAAATTTCAGACATTTTTATTGATTATAAATATAAATATATATATATATATATATATATATATGTATATATATATATATTAGGTTTAATTATAATAAGGTTTCTGATATTAATATTGGTTATTTTGTTTATTTAACAGAATGCTTCATTATATTTGTTTTATAAATTGGCCCTCAGCATGCATTTTAATATTTTTATATATAAAAAAGCATGCTGAAGGCCAATTTATTATTCATCTTTTAATTTTTATTCCCATGGTTAAAAAACATAACTAAATACATAAGATTAACAGTTGGTTATTACTTAATATATTCATTTAATTTGATTTTTGTGAGATAACTTTTGTTAACTGAGTCAGATTTTGCCCAATGACCTTTAATTGTATACTTAAATTTTATGTATGTTTTTATATATGCTTAAGTAAATAGTGTAAAATTTCATTTAGTTCACAAATTTATAAATATTCATGTAGCTTAAACATTACTATTATTCTTTATTGTATATTATTAATAAATATATTACAATAATATATTAAGTATAATAATATATTAATAAATAATATACTGAAGACATGCAATAAAATAATACCCTTATTCAAAACATTGGTACAGAGATGTACATTATAATTCATTTATCATTTTTTTGTACACTTCATTAATATTATAGAAGAGGTACTTCTTGATAACATCAAAATAACCATTTTAACTGTGAATTCAAGTCATTGAAACAGAGAAGTGAAAGAATAAAAGCAGATATGGTAGTTCAGTTAGAATAATCTCAGAAAACACAAATGCTAGATGCATTTGCCAGGGTTTGAAGTTTGTCAATAGCCCTCTTGTGATATGTATTTATATCTGACAGAAATGTTATCAATACTTTGCATATTTTTTATGTGATAAATGTAAAATGTAATTACATATATTATTCTCTAAGTATCTTAAATTTCAAATTTGTTTATTCACAAATTAAAATCATAGAGATAAACAAAACTATAAACTTGCCATAAAACGAATTCGTAATTCATAATCTCTGCTGCCTTGGAGTACTTCACTATTAGCGTTGAGGAAATAATTGGTACCCTTAACTCTCAACGCAAACAACGCACGCGTCAGTGGCGGAATATTATACTTGTTACACAATTGTATACACAGTTCTTCAGCAGTAAAATTTTCCGAACAATGTATAATATCGATGTTATTATTAGTTACCACCGAAACCGTAACGTTCTCAACAAAAGATGCCATCCTAGAGATGCAATAAAAAAAACTCTGAGCACTCAACACATTGTCGTATTGATAAGAATTTGTTTACAAAACTATGAATAAACTACTCTCCAAGATTCTAACGAGAGTTTTATAATTCCACCGTCCACATAGACACATTTTCAATTATTTTGTTATTGCATATTACCACTTTAAATTATAGTATTAGATAATGCCACAATTAATGTTTATTTATATATACGAAATTAGAAATTAATTCATGAAATGAACAGAAATATAGAATGAAGTCGTTTGGAAGTTTTACCATAGATAATTTTTTTTTTTATTTAATATTTTACGGCTCTGCCATAGATAATTAATTGACAGTATTGCCATACTGAATCAACTATGTTGATTCGACAACTGTGTTCGGGCTAATTAAACAGATACCAGCAAATTACGTCTAGGGACTTGCACTCCAAGGATTCGGTACTAAAATGTAAAAATATATCTACAAATATTTGTCTCCAAAGACATAAAAAACTCTGGGTAAATTTTTGATTTGATTCGTTCTATTTTTTGTAATACCTATTAATAATAATAATAATAATCTTAGGACAATTCACACAGCGCCATCTAGACCCAAGTTAAGCTAGCTAAAGCTTGTGTTATGGGTACTAGATAACTGATACAAATACATAGATATTTTTTTTTTTTTTGTAAATACATACATATTATATATAGAAAACACCCAGACCGATACAAACAATCATACTCATGAATACAAATGTTTGTGCCGTGCGAGGAATCGAACCCGCGACCATCGGTCGTAAAGCGGTGTACTAGACCGCTGGACCACCGAGGTCGTCAATACCTAATAATATTGTAATTTATGTAATGTAAGTATAATATACATTCCTTTTGGTATAATTACTTTAATCTTTGGTAATAGATATGGAATGTTATTTTCTGCCTGTTTAAGGGGAGTTCATTGACGTAGCATTATCACTACTTGAGGCCAACCGGAAATTCATAACCTATTATTTTTTTTAATACATAATCAATTTCTTACAAAATTCCGTTCCATTCTTTATATTTCTGTGTATATTTCCCTAACTTTGATGTTGGCTAAATGCGAAGCCAAAGATGGAGGAGGAGGAAAAAAAAATTTAATAGTTGTCAAAATGGTATTGTTTGCTTAACTTTGGCCGCCTTTGCACCCTCTGCGCTATGCAACTGATAACTAGTTCTTTAGGTTTTAAGGCCTTTTGCAACACTTTTCCCTCAGTATATAAAACTTTCAATATACAATACTAAATTTCAAATCAATAGCAATAGAAGATTCTAAAATATAAAGCTAAGACAGACGGCCTAAACTACTAACGGCCATTTATTCGCATATATTATTTATAAATCGTTACCTATTAACGCTAATCATACAACAGCCATAAAAAGCATTTATGCGATGCCATTTATTATTTTATTAATAAAATTGTGAGAGAAGTATTGAAAATACTCCTTTAGGAGCAATTTTCACAAAATTCTTTGGCCTATATATTGATCCAATTAATTGATCATATTTAACATCTTGATGTAACTACCTAATTTTCTTATTTCTTTCATATTCATATTTTACTACTTGAAACTTTATAGGATTACCTACTTTGAACGGAAACGGAACTGTAAATGTCATTGATTAATCTATAAATTAATCTCTTGACGTCTTGTCTTTGGCTAATTGTTTGATTTATTTATGGTACTCTTACTTATATACATTTTTTTCATTATTTGAACGCCATTGTGACAACTCTTTGTTTGGTGAGTTCTTGCTTATAATATTCATTTTTACATAGCCATATCTACTTTTTGTAATGCTTTCTATTGTAGAAAAAGTACTCTTTAGAAGAAATGTAATTATAGTATAATTCTTTTAAAATTTCACGTGTTCATAATACCTATAAGTTAGGTAGTTATGTACCTACATTGACCGGTGTTTGGCGGTTATAATTTTTCTTGGTATAACTATTCAGCAATTTGAAGTAACATAATATAGTCGTTGTAGTCATTTATTAGTAAAGATTTTTATTGTAATTATCAAGAAGTATGATTCAACGATTATATATAGGTAACTTTACTAAGGTTGTCTTCCTTTGGCTGATCTTTCGCTTACTTTGATATTTCGATTCTTATTTAGATAAGTCCATGTGCACGAAAATATTGAAATATTATTTCTTAATAATTATTCCTAGCGCTTGAATAATTAAAGAAGTCGTAGACAGGAAAGGTACCTAGACTACATTTAAAAAACTTGTACAAATATCTACCCTCATTTATTTCATTATGTCTATATATCAAATAAATGTGATATCATCTACATCAAAGATTGTATGCATTATCCTTGAAAAAAATATTTTTTTGATATGGGTTTTTGCTTATATCAATAGTACTGTTAGATTTCTTTAGTTATTTACTAATGATTTTAAAATTATGCAAAACAGCCTATCGGCATCAGCTTATATTTAGCGATAATAATTTATTTTTCAGGTAATAATGGATGAATGGGATGATGATTCAGAGGTGGTAAGTATGTCAGTTGGATATATGTTGATGTAAATTTCTATATTCACATTTTTTGTTTTTAAAGTAGATATGTTAGACATCATTTGATATCACAATATGCTAAAAAGAAATGAAACTGTTTTTAAATGCTCTAGGTCTATTAGCACAATATGATTATTAAAGTGGTGATCCACTTTATATAGCATTACATAGTTACTAAGGTTTATTATTTCAACTTACATCAAATATATACACATCTATAATTGCTATGAAACAATAGACATTTTTAACGGAACTTGTGTTTTAGTTCACCTATATTATTTCAGGTTGTACCACCACCGGTCACATTACACAATGTGAATGGTGGCAGTAGTGTAGATGGGGGCCGCATTTTCTCCAGAGGCCGTGGATTTACATCATTTAACAATAATGGTAAATTTATTTTTGTATAAAATTTATTCAATTTGTATATAATTTGAGGAAGTATGCAAGTTTATCATGTCATTAAACAATTGTCTGTTCTGAACATAGGTCTCTTAAACAAATCCTCTAAAAATTTTATTTAATATCAAGTTGAAATAACTTTAACACATTTATTGGTTGGTGGGTAACAAATAAAAATGTGTCTTTTATTCCTGAATATTGTAAATCAACTTTTAGTTAACTCATCATTTTGTAGAGACAAATTGTTATACAGTATAAATAAACACAAAGTGTTCTTTAAATTTGTTTATTATAAAATATCACTATTATTACATTTCATTATTTAGATATAGATTGAGGCATAAGTTCAGTCATAATGTTTTGTTTCCAATGGTTAAATAATATTGGGTACAGTTGCAGCTCTATTACACTTTGTTTATATTACACAATGTGAATATTGACATGTGGCACTTCTTTGCCACTTAATATAAAACCTTACACTTGAGAAAATGTATTGTTTATTCAGTTACATTTTACTGATCCAACATTACCCAATATGTACTGTAATATTGAAAACTTACTGCCTCCCTCACTTGTGTACTAATTAAAATTGACACCATGTTTTTTTTTGTATGAAGATTTTATCGTCAACACAACACAAAATACAAATATTTAAAAGTACATTACCCTTGAGGACATAGCTGAAAATCCGTGTTTCGATCCTTGAGTGATTTTTTGTATTGCATTGGTTTAAAATCTTTATTGTGTACCTACTATTTCTAATGAAGCCTGTATGTCTATATTATACAAATAAAAGTTTCGATCTATCTATCTATTAATATTTAAGTGCAGTCGCAGTGCAATCCTGCAATAATAGATACATATGGCAATATTTTTTTATTTAATAGGTCAATATAGAACTTCGACTCCTAGCAAATGTATTCTCGATGCCGCATAGCATGATGTTTTTTGCCAAATGATTAAGTGTAACAGAATAGATTTTTTTTGAGGTAGACTCCGACAAGGTCGAGAGTAACGGGTTTGGTGAACGACGCGGGCGCGGCGGACGCGGGGGGCGCGGAGGACGCGGGGGGCGGGGCGGCCGCGGCGGCGCCAGAGACCGCGGGGACTCGGAAACTAATGGAGGTAGGTGATGTTGGACATATTGGAACTACATATTATGCTACAATCCTTTCACAATAAAACAATATTAGATAAATTAAAGTGAAATGATGAAATGCTTATTTTCCATAAAAACAATGGATGTTGTTGACCAAGTTGGGATGACATAGTAAGCATAGCAAACTATTATGTTAAAATTCCATCAAAATAAAACAGTAATAGAAAAATTAAAATGAAATGAAAACGATGTTTATTTTCCTTAAAAAAAATTGGATTACAGTAATACAGTATTGGGATGACCTAGTAAGCATATCAGATATAATTTCTATATCTACCACACCTGTGTTTTTAAAAAGAGATAGACAACAAACATACATTTATCATGTTTAGAAACAGTTATTTGTAAGAAAGAATAAGTCCATAAATATTTTGTTTGATATAAATTTTATAATTTAGTCAAATATATAGGCACATTGACCAAGGAAACAAATTGTCTCAGTTGGTAAAAAAATATTATACATACAAACAGAAAGTGTTGTTAGGCTCCCTTGATTATCATAATTTGATTTAGATGTGATTTAAGTTTATGTATATATTTCTCGGTATCAAAATTTATGTGTAATTAATTTCTATGATAACAAACTAAGTACAAAGTTGAAGTATGTGTAACAATTTTGTTAATAAACAACTTCAATGATAATAAATGATGTAGATTTATTTGTTTACCATTTACCATTTGTAATTCATTACAAAAATATTCTAGTTATTTTTAAAGATCTTTAAACTCGGTGGGTTATAATTAATTGTATTATTACTTTCGTAATTAATAATAACCCAGGAAAATACAAATACATGCCTATCTAACTCCATACTAAACAGAGCGTATTATTCCCATAGATCTGATAGAAATAATTAAATACATTTAACATGTCATATTAAATTATTTGTGACATAATATACACATAATACAATAAACAATTATACTTATATATAAGGCGGTGTGCTAAATAGCTAGACCATAGGACGTAAGCTACAAAAATAAGGCAACATTCTAGACTTCTTGAAAATAGTCTATTTTTTGTGAATTTGAGATATCTTTCCCCTATCAGATAGCTATGATGACAAAGGCCGTGGAGACAGAGGCGAACGAGGCCGAGGCCGGGGTCGTGGGGGCCGCGATGGTGGCAGAGGCGGTGGAGGTGATGATAACGGCTCCCCTGAGCTTGGCGAAGATGGAGAACCGAAGAAGGCGCCCGTTACATACGTCCCACCAGAACCAACCACTGATGAACAGGAAATCTTCAGCAGCACCATTAGCTCGGGCATTAACTTTGACAAGTTTGATTGTATTGCTGTCAAAGTAAGTCGTATTGTTTTTTCTCATAAAAATATAGCCGAACTTATGCAATGATGTCAAACCAAAAATTTGTCCCCGTGACGACGGTAGCCTTGGCATGTGGAATTCAGAACATACGGTGCGAAATATGGGCATATTAAGTATTCACTACCACAACATCAATATTTAACAAAATCTCTGACTACCCTAAATGGGATAACAGTAAATTACGAAATTATTTCTTTACATCGTAAGAAATATGTCATTACTTTAATAACATAGAATATTACATTACATAAACAACTCCATACATATATTTATAATTCACTCTTTGTTGTAGGTTAGTGGTGAAAACCCACCACGTGCCATAGAAAGCTTTGAAACAGCGAACTTACGGAAGTATGTTCTTGATAATATTTTAAAGTCTGGTTACAAGAAGCCAACTCCAATTCAGAAACACGCCATACCGATTATAATGACTGGAAGGGATCTTATGGGCTGCGCACAAACGGGATCTGGGAAAACGGTAATAAAATAATACTATTTAACCATTTTACTAAAATTAAAACCAAACTTCAGATTGCTGTGGTCTAGTGCTTATTTACTACTCTAACTTATAAGTACCCTGTAGATTGTGAGTATATCTAACAAAACTGGAAAATACTTTGTATCAATTCATATTTCTCATTCACTACCTGGTGATTGTAACTCCGAAAACAAATCAAATTAATGCTTCTCATACATTTCGCAGTGTCTGTTGCCACATCAAGTGTTATTTACCACAACATGGACAACTGAACATGTTTCTTATTTCTATGAGTGGGTGGCTGGCTCACTCTATTATTATACTTGTTGTTTGTCAGGATTGAACTGCTCTGATAACCGCCTGATTTATTTTGTTACTCAATTACCTATTATATGTACTTTTATCAATTTTGATATTTGTGCAGGTTGAATTCAATAAAAATGCAATACTACTATTTATGTTATAAAGCAACATGCAAATTTCTACTGCTTGCTTATTGTGATAAGTCTTTAAAATATATCGAAATTATTTTTATTATGTAATTATATTTAAATAAAGGTTATTTCTATTTATGAAATGTTTGAGGATATTTATTATAAAATCAAACAGGAATGTTTACTGAAATGACTTATTATAGAAAGAATTTTGTTTTAAATTCAACATTTTTTCCAGGCTGCATTTCTTCTGCCAATTATTAATACTCTTTTACAAGACGCACGAGAGTTGGTAGTTGGACCAAGTGGATGTGCGCAACCACAGGTAATTATATTATGTCGTTATTAACCTACTAATAATGAAAGTTAATAATTTTGCTTCATGTAATTAAAAACAAGATGTTCCATCTGAAATACTCGTCAATAAACATGAATGATAATGTGTCTATCGTAATTTAATTTAATTTAGAAATAAAATTTAATATCAGTATCTGTTATTATAAAAGTAAATAATTTAGAAAGCAAATGATTTGGAATTATCATCTTTTTATCTATCTGAGACTCACGGTGACTAGGTCTATCATCCGTACGTCGTCAGTAGGCTGAAATATTAATATAAACTCAATGAAATTGAGCGCAATGTGGGCATTAAAATGTTACTTTCGTGCTCTCCTAAAATGGTTTTAAGAGTCGTAGCACAGAGATATACTACTCAACTTAGTTATCAAAAGTTAGAAAATTTTGTGTAAATTTATATTACTACCTAAATCTCAGATTATGGAAACGGATAACAAAACAAATTTATCTAAGAAAATAGGTGAATGACCAGTGCCATGTTAGGTTCAAATGTTTCTAGTAAAATTTAACAATAACTTGTAAAAATAGTATATTTATATGAAAATAATAAAATAGTTCACCATAATCAATATTTATCATATTTTTTTGTTTATGTTATTGATTATAAGTCACATTTCAGGTCATAATAGTATCCCCAACACGAGAACTAACGCTCCAGATATTTAATGAAGCCAGGAAATTTTCCTTTGGCTCTGTACTGAAAATTGCTGTTGCCTATGGTGGTACTGCAGTACGCCATCAAGGAGATACTATTTCTGTAAGTTACAAATGTTAAGTTGTGATTAGTATGAATAGGTTATATGCATTAAAAATTAAAATATTTTAATTTCCAAAAAACTGGTAACCAACCTGACGGATTACCACTAACCCACAAATTTTGTTTACATTTATCAATTATAGTAATGTAGACCATTTATTGTTAAATGGAAAAACATAACGCACCGAGTTAATGACTCACAAAATTGGTACACAAATGATTGTGTGGTTTTAGGTATATTATTTGCCTTTTATAATATTTTTTTGTTTACAGCAATATTATTTTCTAAGTCCTGTGGTTATGGCCTGGTGTTATAAAAAACGAAATAATTTCGTAGACGTCGGTAGGTTCGCCCTTCCACGTTGGAAGTAAATAATACCTACTTGTTTATTGATTACCCCAGCGGAAATATAATCTTGATGCTATATAATTAATATATTTTTTTATTGAATATATGTATATTAAATATAGTATAATATTGTCTAATATAGAAAGGATGTCACATTTTGGTCGCCACTCCTGGACGTCTCCACGACTTTGTGGATCGCAACCGTATATCTTTTGATAGCGTGAGGTTCGTCGTACTGGATGAAGCAGATCGTATGTTGGATATGGGCTTCATGCCTAGCGTTGAGAAGATGATGGAACATCCCACTATGGTAGCAGTTGTAAGTATAATTACCTAATTTACTAAATATGAGCATCAAATTGCAGCCTAATTTTATGTCTGTCACCTTGACGGGGACTCACATTCACGTTAATTCTGTTTGATAACCGCACATAATAAGCATTTGTATACATATATATATATATATATACATATATACCGTATATTAAAAAAAAACAATATTACAATTGATTGTTTATTAATTTACATTATGTGTTACAAGATACGAGTATTTAAGTATTGTATCCAGTAGATTACAAACTTTACATAGTACGGCGCTGTATTAGATGTAGGTATATTAATTAATAAATTATGATAATATACCCATACTGCAGGAAATTTTATCTATCTATAATTTCGCTATTAAACTCAAGTTTTTGTATTGTTTAACCATAGAAGAAACAAGTATTACTCTGTGATTTTATTTTCATAGACAAGTAATGATTCAAATGTTTTCTTCTTGTTTAGGATTCACGACAGACATTGATGTTCTCTGCCACATTCCCTGAAGACATCCAGCATTTAGCGGGCAGATTCCTAAACAACTACCTCTTTGTCGCTGTTGGTATAGTCGGTGGTGCTAGCGCTGACGTTGAACAAATTTTCCATCAAGTCAGCAAGTATGAAAAACAGAACATGTTGAAGAAACTCATTGAGGAAAATGGTAAGTCATTAATTCCATAGCTTATACACCAGAATAACATATAATTTTGTCTATAAATCCGATTTACGAAGAAACTATACAATTTACTACCAATAATTAATATTTTTTTAAATTTGCAAGAATTAAAATTTATTTTTTATTACCATAGACGGCAAGCGCATCCTGGTGTTTGTGGAAACAAAACGTAATGCAGATTTCATTGCTGCAATGCTATCTGAGCAGCAGATGCTTACTTCATCAATCCACGGCGACCGCATGCAGCGTGAACGCGAGGAGGCTTTACACAACTTCAAGAGCGGACGCCATTTTATACTAGTCGCTACTGCTGTCGCTGCGCGTGGATTAGGTACTAAATTAAATTGAAATCAGTGATTTCATACACTCAATGTTTAGTTGTATATTAGATATTTAAATCTCAAGCATTTTATTTCTAATTTAAGTACTTTTAAATATCGGGATCTTAAATTATATTATCATAGTAAATGTGTACAATTCAACTGACTTGACTGAATTTCCAGATGAGAAGTTAGCCATAGGTCAATTCTTGATGTTATGATGAACGCTAACGTCTCTTGGATTAATTTTGTTAATTGTTAACTTAGAACTTACTTTGGTACAACTTCACGAATAACATTTATATCAAAAGTTTACAAAAATAATCTATTATTGACACAATATTTTACAGTGTACAATTTATTAAATTGTATCTGCCTCAGGGATACTAAAATGGTTGAGCTATCTATTAAAATAAACTCGCTAATGTGAAATATATTTTCTAGATATTAAAAACGTTGACATCGTGGTAAACTACGATCTTCCTAAGAGCATAGACGAGTATGTGCACAGAATCGGCAGGACCGGTCGTGTCGGAAATAGAGGAAAAGCTGTATCATTCTATGATACTGATCAAGTAAGTGATATATAATTTTTTATAGTCATCATTTTAGTGATTATATAATGGAAAACTTCAACTCGGCATTGATACTAAATTTAATGTAAAAATTGTAGATAAATTTTTATTAATACTGCTTTTAATATTTTTATGTATATATAATGCACTAACTTTGTATAGCATTTTTTTTGTTTGTTTGTTATCACTATTTTTGCTGATACATATATTGAAATATTTTGTGTTCTGAATAAAAATAATGAATAAATTATTTACCTACATTATTTTTTATTAAATTGTTTGTTATAGGATATTGCACTCGCAGCTGATTTAGCGAAGATTTTGCGTCAGGCCGATCAGCAAGTGCCCGACTATTTAGAAAGCGGCGGCACCTCTACATATAAGAGCAACAAATATGGAGGCAGCGATATTAGAGTGAGTATACCATGGTTGTAATGTCTACTTGTAATAATGTAATTAATTTTTTCTCTAGTATGAATGCGATCCAACTTTATTGGGTATACCCTGTTGGGTTATAATGATGATGCCATATCAACAGTGATACAATGGAATTCATGAACAATAAGAATTATTTAATAGTTAGTTTTAATATCTCTCTGCTATTGCTATTTTGAAAGTAATCATTTTTGTTATTGTCCTTGCGATTTGCTATTATCATAATTGTGTTATTATTACAATAATTGTTTTACTTACATGCAATCACTAGAGTAAGGAATCGGATGAGGTATTGCAATATTTCATATATTAATTACATACTAAACTAAACGAAAAAAAAGAGTGACATTTTTTTTGTGGTTTTTGCGCTATTTGCCCTCCTCCATACAATCGTCAACTCCTTCATATCCATCTGGGAATTTGTTGTTTAGGTAGTTTGTGTCTACAGTTATGTCTCTGTTATATGGCCATGCACTTCTTTACTTTTACGCCACTACTTGGCATGGCTACCAACTAATAACTACTACTACTGTATATATACTGCTAGGACCAGATTTCGGCAAGTTTATCAATTATCATTGATAGATTTGAAGCTTGAAAAGGTCTGAAAGCCGTGCAGCCGTGATACTGCCTCGTACGAATATGTTTTTTTTTGTGACGTGAATGTAGCTCTAGTTTGTATATCATGGTTATTTGAGCTTTATTTTTAATTTTCAGAATTTCAATAATGAAACTGCACCTGCAAACCAAGGACAGGAACCAGAGGAAGAGTGGTAAATCTACTTAGACTGATTACCATTTGATAGGACGATCTAGTGATTGATTTACTTGTTTCAAAATGCAACTAGTGGTGTAGTATATCTATGTAAATACATCAAATGGTGCTTATGCTACCGTATTTATGTGACATGATACATGGAACAATTAAAATGTTACTACTACCATACGATGGTAAGCCGTCTAAAATAATGACATTAACTTTCTAATAAACGTTTACACCTAAAAAACAAGACTGTGACTTAATGTATAATTGCTGAGTATTCTAGATATAGGCATTAATTATAAGACTCAGGTATCCCAAAATGACATGTTTATTGCATAAGTCCCTTTGATTTTATACATACATCATTGTTGTGTACTTATATTTTTAGTGTTAGTTTCTTTAAATTTGTTATTTGTTTTATGACTTTTGATTGTTTAGAATAATGTGGCTTAAGTTTATTTTTTCTGTTTTTGTTTCTGGATCTATTATTTTGTGGTTAAGACTTACCATGCAAAGCAAAAACAAAACTGTGATTTTAATATTAAAGTTGCTCATTTAAAATTTTAGTAATAGTTACAAATATATATAGTTTTCTACATTTATTTCAAATATGTTAGCATTGTAAGCAGTGTTTGCTAAATGGACTTTTTAATAAAGTTATGTAGTAGTAACCTTTAAACTAAATGATGTGCTATTTGCAGTTGTGCAACCTCATTAGCATTGCTCGCCCCGTGCTACTTTCTCAAGTAAAAGCTATATAAACAGGTATGCTTCAGGTTATGGTTATATGCTATCTTTCGCAAGGCACAAGCCTTGGCCTAAACAGATACTGCCATCTTTTCCAAATGGTGCTCTCCAGCCGCATACTTCTGCCTTAAGCATTGTGTTACACAAAAAGAACACGTGTTGTAGGAATCTGCTCACTATTCTCTAATTCATTCACCATGATGGTGCAAACCCGTGATTTGGAAAAAGAAAATTGAAATAGATTTTGTTCTGTTTTAATATTGTTTTAACTTGTATAATTTAAGAAAGTTTCAAAGCATATGGTAGTACTCCAATAACAAATATTACAACTTTCCTAACTAAAAGTACAAAAACTATTATATCATGAAACGTTTATAGATACTTTATACTAAGTCCATTTTGCCCACATAATACTGCAATCTTAGCTCTTATCATAACATACGTAATAATACAGCAGCTATTTTGGAAATAGCCATTTCATTAGAATCTCATTTTAAAATGTCATCTTCATCATTATTAAATGTTTATTATTCAGTGAATTGTTATATGGCGTAAATAAAATTTGCCATTGACAGCTTCAAATCTACTCATCGAAGCAAATATTCACGTATGTTGTAATCTGTGATTATTAATCTAAGTGCTGTGCAAATATATTTTTTGCATTGCTTTGCCATAGAAGTTTAGTTCAAGTAAACTTAGTAAAAGAGATTTTTTTAAGCAATATTCTACGAATTTAAACCATCGCAGGTATTGTTTACCGTGAAGACAGCTAAATTACATTCTTACGATATTTTAGTTGTTGTAACTCCACTACATAAGTACAATTTGTTTTGTTATATTCATTTGTAAGAGGTTAATCAAAATAAAACCTGATTAATAGTAATTCTTTTATTTAAACCTAATATTGAGCATGTTACTGCTAAGAAATTATACGGAAACAATATAAAAAAGATTGGAGTGGAGGAATATATTTTGTATAAAAAAAAACTAGCAAAAACTCACAACTTAGGATCTACTGGTGTAAAAAAATGTAATAGGCAGGTTAGTTCACAATATTATTTTATAAATACTTTTGAATTGTACTACCAATTCAAAAAAATAATATTGGCAAACTAACGCAGCAGTTTGCCATACGTCAAAACTACTTGGTTCGACATGAACCCAAAGTTATCGACGGGGATGTATTGAATACATAATAATTTAATAGAAATACGATAATATAGTATATATTTTTATTTATCACAATAATTGACATCACAGTATATCAATGTTTTAAACTTCCGCATAGAGATGAGTGACTTAAAATTTAGTATACAAAGCAATAACGTGATCGTTCATTGCCGTATATTATGCGTTTAGAAATAGGTATATCCATGATATTTCGACTGTTCAAGCGGATATTTAAAACAAATACAGTGTATTTTTGGTATAAAAACTTTGTTCCATCTTTATTCTATTTGCATAGGTATGTACATACTACATAAATCAAATTTAATATTATTATTCCCACTGGATTATTGAAGTCATACTAAGTCGTCGTCTTTGAGTACAACTGTTTCGACTCACAGTAATCACACATGAAAAAAATAAAACTAAACCTTTTAAAAATAATACTACATACTAAGTCACTTAATTTATTATACAATCTGCATTCTATATGCTACAATAAAAAAGTCTTAGAACATAATCATGAAAATAATCAGGGATACAGGATAAACTCTCAACTGTTTCCTTTATTTAAATATATATGTATATTATATGACACGAAACTACTACGAAAACTAGCTAAGAAATAATATGATTTGTATAGAAATGTAGTAAAAACTTATGAACACTTTTGTGGAATCATTGCAGATTAGAAACGTCGGGAGATCGACAATAGAGTATACAAAATAGAGATGTGGTAACTCGTAATAAACATGACTCCAGTTACCAGGAATATTTATTTTTTATTTTTTCGAACAATTCTGTTTTTGGGCGCAGCTAGCCTTGAAAGCTTCACCGAACTTTAGGGTGATACCGATGATAATAACCTTAAATCAATATGGAAATATTTGTGACGAGTGAAAATTATATGATATGAAATGATTGGAAAATTTCATGTCATTGTTAATTCGATGACAGAATCAAGCTCTCGCTCTTTAACTTGATTAATTAATTTACCAGTTCAATTCTTCCAACTCGAGTTGGCAGAATTCAACTCGAGTAAACTCGAGTTGACACATCTCTAATACAAAAGCTTTATACAATTTTTCTTTGGTTACAAAAATGAGCAATAATGAATCTTTTTTTTCTTATTATACTTTTTGCTTTAACAATACGTAATTGCTGAACTATTATTAATAAGCAATAAATTGAACTGAATAGTACTCAAGCCTAAGACTAATTAAAGGCAAATTAATTATAACTAATAACAATCACGTGATATATTAAAATAATAAAACAATGTTACTAAGTACCGTAGGTATGTGTTATCTATTCCTACGGAATATTGTAATTTCTTAATACTTGAACTGTGATAAAACAGTTTATATCACTGGTTAAAATCTTGTAGAAAAAAAAACAAAATATTTGTTTTTATACAAACAACAAAGTTGAATCACATTAAAATATTTTAATACTATATTAATACAGTATTAAAATATTTTACTATACTTTACTATACTATACTAAAAGTATTGTATAAAATTTTAATATTCTGTTATGCATTAACATTAGAGTTTATTGATATGTTTTGATAGGGTGTTGTAGGTGTTCTCCATCTGAAGTATGCGACAAATCTGTAACAAATATAGAAATTATAACTAATTGGAATAATAATATCTAAATAATAACTAAATGGATATATTGTGACATAATAAAATAAAGCATAACGAAAATCCATTCTCCATCAGCCATTCTCACAAATTTCCCGAATTGTAATATTACTAGGATACTTACAACAACATAATCACGCATGCTAGTCTAATGGCAGTTGTCAGCAAACATATAGCACCAGGGAAGGTAGTTATTGTCAGATTGTACAATGTATTGTATAATACAGGCGCAAACAACGGCATTATACCCTCAATGGCACACATCAGGGCGAACGCCTTTGCTATGTCTTCAATCGGCAGTATCTTCGTAAGGTACGACCTTATTAGTGGAGCTGATAAACTGCCAAATACTGTTACTCCTGCGCCTGAAAAAAAATATTAAATATTATCACCCTGTCTAACGCTCCTGTCCCAATCTAACGGGTAAATAAATTACAATCGCCTGAGCTGAGTTCCAAACCAAACAAGTGGTGGCCTCAGACTAAAATAGTATCCATCAGAATTGACCTTAGCGACTAATAATACCATATGTCTTTCAGCGAATTTGGAGTGTTTTGTCTTCTGCACTTGCCCCCAATTTCTTCCGGTAAAGCTGTAAAGGTCATATTCGCCAAACAACATTACAACAGTTCGAAAAAAAGCGCTGCCTGCCTAGTAAGACTTGAAAGTATATAACTTTACGTTTTACTCATCATAATAGAGTCGGCAATACGCAAGTTACACTCCTGGTGTTTAAAACAACACATTGGTAACCATTTACGGGCCAAATGCAAGTTTTACCGCAGTTGTGGTGAAAAAAAATAGGACTTATATAACCCGTGTTACGGTTAGATTTTACGCGAGAAAGATAATATTGACTTACTAGTTACATTATCGTCAGTGGCTTGTGCAAAATAAATTCAATTACGCATCGGCTGAAACGACATTTTGCATGCCTGGATCAGGCAATACCTACTGCTTTGTTTAAATAAGTGTACTGATACATAAGTAATTAGTACTATATTTAATCTACAATTCCATAATATACATATGTACTTACTAAGATACATGTGCCATGTTAACACAGCAAAGGCTTTAATTGCATATTCTGCAGCGGCTGACAAAAATGATATTATTGATAGCACCAAATCATTAATCCCGAGTAATTTCTGTATGACAGTAACGCCAATCAAAGAACCGATGAATGATGTCAACACGCTCACAGCCGAAAATATGGTAAAGTCTTTCATTCCCCAGTGTAGTTTTTCTCTGGTGTACATATATTCGACTCCTGTTAGTCCATACAAAACAAACACGCTTAGGCAATTTGCGAATGTCAATAAAAGGAGCTGGGCCCTTAAGTTGTTCGGACGCTTTTTGAAACACTCTGTTATCATTTCTTTAATTAATAAGACGTTAATTACCGAACACAGAGTACCCTGAAAACAAAAATTAGGTTTATCCATATACATTAAAACGTAAACTGAAAATTAGTTAACATATCTCTTAATTCAATTATTTAAATTTATTGTGATTCTTCAGTCTTTCGCTGGCCCTTATAGGACGTTGGGTGAGGGCCTCGAGAAGCAAGCTGCGAACCATCCAAGCGTCATTCGTTTTTTCTTTACGGCGAAGAAGGAAAGGAGACAAGTCGCGTCAAAAGTTAGTCATCTAGAAAATGTATACGCATCTATGTCCACCAATTCCATCCTCGTTATACTATCTTCATCCCAAATTTCAATAAGTAACGTTCATTAAGTGCCGTTATATCGTGAAAGGGTACAAACAAACGGTCAGACTTTCGCATTTATGATATTAAGTATGGATTCCTTTTATATGAATATCTATCAATTATGTTATCACTATTATGTTATATCGAGACACTTATCAATATTACGTGTTGAAACTACATACCTACTTGTAGATATTTAGGTTTAGGTATCGCGAATTAGAATCGATAACACAGGTTGTTCCATATTTTTCAATATCGCAAGCCATTTAACAGTTTTTTTAATAGATGAATATGGAACCGTACACCTCAATATGCAGATCTTGCCAAGCAGAAGAGGAAACACCACAGCACACATCCTATGTGATTATAGCGGAAATCATACACTCTATCCTGAGGAGCCGGACGAATGGCGCCGTATTACCAAAAACCTCACTCATCGTGATTCAAAATGTTGACCACGACCACTCTGACAAGAGTGTACAGACTAAGAAGAATCCTGAGGAGATAAAGACTATCACTCCTAAGAATGTCTTTCAATTAGTATCCCTAACGGATCTAGTTTGAAAAAGGGCGAGCACAATAGATCTATGCAGGCTGCAGTGTCACAGGTCAAAACCCCTAATAAAAGAAAAAAAATAACTGTACACCTTAACGATATACATGGCCAGGGTACCAGTGGAGTACCATAGGATGATGATGAAGTCAGGGGAATTTACCCGTCACGGTGTCGGGGATATCAGCAAGAATTAACGGCAATTGTTTTTTGGGGGTACCCCAAATGGGGTTTTTTAACAACGAGGCCACTAGTCCCTATTAGTATCAATCCTCTGCTCTTAAAACAATTTCTACCTACTACTACTCTATTACTGTACTGACAGTCACATGTAGAAATGTGAATTGTGTGCATGACGCAACAATATTATTTGAATAGATATTGAAAATACATTGGATCTGTATCAAATTCTTGTAATATAGTACAAATTGCTAAATTACAAGAAATTGATACAGATCCAATGTATTTTCATGTATCATATATACAGTCGGCTAATTAGAGATATTGGGTGTCAGAGTTACAATGTGTATGTTGACTACAAGTTTCAAATTCAGATCAAGTTATATAGTTAATATAAGTATCACTGTTAATTAATAACAGATCATACATCTCAAATCGAATCAAGTCACCAATTCCATAGAAAAGAATGATTACCTACATAACTGGAATAAGTTACTGGTAAAGAGTGGTCTCATTATTAGCTATGTACTTGGATTTTGATGCCCACGCAGTTCCCCTGGAAACTATTGTGCCATAATTCATAAAAATACCGTCCTTTTATTTGAACAACAGAGTTATACAAAATAAGGCCAAAGATTTCATTACTCTTCACTAGGGAAGAAACCATTATTATAATTTTGAAAAAAAAAAAATAAAGACCGTAAAATATTAGGTATATATAATTAATACTTAATAGTATAATTTTGATCGAGCATAATGCTACAATCGATCTAAAGCCGAGCTAACAATAATTATACATGCAGTTTTAATTTCATTATGTTTTAATTATACCTACTACTATGTAGACAAAACACGAAACACAACAAGGTTATCATGTTGAGTCATATTATGCACGCAACAAAATTGGTTGCTGGATAGCTATAACATTTATTTAGCCTTTTGCGATGATTTAATACTACAATATTTTGTTTAATAAATTATAGTTGAATTGCATTCCGTAATAAGCTGACTAAACACTAGGGTATTATGAGAGTATCATTGGTATACTATACCTACTACTATAGTTCTTAATGCTTTTTTGTGAAAATTGTTTTCTTCGAATGGTAAACAAGCTCACGTATATACATGGAAAGAACTACAGATTTCACAATCGTGTGCCAATCGTGCTCCTTCGTGCCTCTTATCCTATAATTTCACTGCCTTATCTCACCATTCAACCAAAACACAGTTTACAAAGCAGCTGCTTGGCACCTTTAAGCAAGACTATGTGATGACTTCACCAGGAGCAAACAAGGATCGTATCCGGGGGGAAGCGTATGGACATTGACCCAATCCAAGTGCATTAAAAATTGGCCACTAGCTCCGATTACTGAATCCATCTCCACCTCAAAATAATGCAGCAATACATTAGTAGCAATAGAAACTACTGGTCAGCCCACAAAGCCCAAATGCAAAATAATGCGGTCACACCAAATAATTTATGTCGTAATAATGTATTAGATACGATTTAATATATCAAGCTACGATTGTGAGTCATAAAAATCGTAAACAAAAATACAGAGGCTTCGAATCATCACGTCACGATTTGTAAGGGAGAAAGGAAATGTTAGCAATCGGGACTAGGGGTAGGTTTTCATTGCATCATAAAATCTGTTTCACTTTCTAAATATCTCTGAATATTAAATACGATGACAATATCTGTGACTAGACTATGCGACAGTACATATACACTATTATCTTCTCTCGATGTACTGATAATTATGTTCTTACCTTTATTGCTCCAGTCAATGATTCTTGTAATCGTATATTCGTAATAGCATAAGCTGTTACGAACAATGTAGCTGCTATGAGCAGTAGGTATACATTTCCTATTGCTTTGAGGATATAGGAGGAAATCAAAGAACCAACAACGCTACCCGCCGAAACAGATATTTCCATCATAGTCATTCTGAAAAAGAAATTTTATAAATAATTATTTACCTATAGATACAACTTTATATACTTTGTATCTGAAAAAGCCGTTATTTCAGAAGGCAAATAATATATCGGAATCTTAAAACATTGAAAAAATATTTTATTTCAATGCGATACACATTTAATTTCTTAACCTAAAGAGACTTTATAATTTGAAAGGTGATCTTTAATTTTTTATGGAATCACTAGAAAAAGCTTTGTGCTAGAAAGGCACAAAGTTAAAACAATGCAAAGGTTATTGTGAATTAGCGTAAGAGTTATTGTGTTCTCACACTTGATGAAAGTTGAGGAATCAATAATTATTGTTGTAAGACTTATAACCTCATCACATATTTGTTAAGAAATAAAAAAAAAACATTAAGTTTGTAATGTTTGGACAAAATATAGATATGTACTAGAAGTTCTAGTTCTACGGAGAAATCGCGCGCATCAGCTAGAACTTTATAAATAATTTCTATAAAATAGAAATAAATTGGTCAAAAAGTCTTTACAGTAGATACTACATAATCAAATTATACATTATTCATTTGAATAATGGCAGTGGTGAGGTATTTTGCGGTTTTGCTATATAAATGTCTTTTAATATAGTTTGTTGTTTATCATTTAAAAAATATAGTGTAAATGTTTTTTAATGATAAACAACAAACGAATACTCATAATTAAAATACACATTACATATACATAGGTCTATTATTATTTATTACACAAAAAGTACATGCAGATGCTAGACAAACAGTGGAAATACATGCAGACATGAGATTGCAGCGAAACAGAATAACACCCAACAATGTGAACGAGCATTATCCAGTCCAAAAACAATTATTTAACGCAATCATTTTCATAGATGATCAAAATTATAGTTAATAAAAAATATTTATTCTACAGTTCTAAACTGTAGATAAGTACGTGTATTTTGTTCATCCATAAAATTGTATGTATTTGTAAATTAGTGAATAGAGCAAGAGTCGTGTGTAAGGACAGAAGCCAATAGCGCCAGTTCTCTCTGTTTGTTTGTATTTATTCTATAAACAGATAAATTAGTTGTTAACCAGGAATACGTTCAAAGTAAAGTATACCAATCATATTTTTGACCATTAGTGAAGATTCATGTGATACTAAACATACTTGTACCACACAAGTATATTGTGATATTCATGATTAGCTCACTCATTATTACTGGGTGGGACTAAGTAATGTCGTCAAGCTCGTCACTTAGTATAATCTTATTGGCTTATTTTTTTCTACTTATAGTCTGTTCATTTGCCACATTACAAAAAAAGGATATCATTGCACCTCTGTGGAATTAATAAATTTATTGATTATTTTATATTTTTTACAACAACACTTTGTTAAATATATGTTCAACAACGTCCAGATATTTAGCGCAGATATGTAGCGCAAAAGGCTTGATGTATTTGAAACAATCGTTATATGAAAATGTTTTAAATATTATACAGGATACTTTTTTTTAGTTTTCACTTCACTTTCATAGTCGAACTTTTATTATTTATAGTTGTTTGAGTTGATTAGTATTATAGTAAAATGATAAAAGAAAATGAATCAATTATAAGACAATTATTTTAGATCCAATTCGTTTTTTTAGAAATAATAAATGGCATAATTGCATAGATTAAATTAAACTTTTGCAACTATAAGTAGTCATTAATAATTTAATTTAGTAATTCGGATTTCCAAAATATTAAATAATACGGAATACCTCTTTTGTCTCTCTTCCTAGCAAAGCATTCCGATATAAGGTTAGCTTTCCTGATTCATTGTGCTCAATGGCGTCTTCTCTTCAAAGACTTGACACTCTACCATCCTGGCCACTACATCTCAACAAAGACGAATGAATGACTAATGAAATACATTAAAGTTAATGCACAAATATAAAAAATCAACTAGACGTTGACTTCTTTTTAGTGTGCCCGTAGTTCCGTATCGAAGTATTAGTTAAATGGTTTTGTTAAGTTCTCTTCCAATGACATATGTACTGGATAACACTTGCATCATTCATTACCTAAGAGAGGTATTCTGAGATATACAGACGTCACTTATATAACACATTGCTCCCGTAAACAACACGGTAAATCCTCCGGACATTGACAGCGGTATTACAGCCAAAGTGTACCACCATGGTCCCAAATTATGCAACAAAGCATAAACGACAATCAATATTCCCGTTATCGCCAAACCTAGAAATGACAATAGGTTAAGTAATATTTTTTGGCTGCCTTGATAATCCAGCATACATCTTTAGACCAGGTCGGGTGTTAAATCTATTATCATCGTCCTACGTGATGAATGATGGTTTCTAGTTAATTCCAGTACAATGTAAATATTTTCATATAAGATATATACCTATAAATGTCTGAATTTCTCTGGGTGTTTATGTATGTAAGTATATTATGTACACATGTCAATATAAAATATTTAATTAATTATATCCTTTATCTAGTTTTATGTTGTAGAAATAGCGTAATAGCCTCTTAGCCGCCATTTATAATTTACATGGCTATGGTTCAATGATCACAGATTGTGTACTATTATTAACAAAGACAATTTTGAACGCCACACAGTGCATGTCGTATTCGTATCCTAACAGTATGCGATGAATCGACAAGATAGTAGGTACGCTGAGTGAAAAAAAAATTAGACACGTTATACATATTATTATATCACCTAAGGCACATGCACTAGTTGGAAAATGAGGAATAAGGTTTGTCCGTAATCAACACACTATCTTAAATATTCTTTAACTACATTTCAATATACGATTGTGACAATTAATAAAATTATAATGCTTAATGGTGAACTATTGATAGTCTTATACAATTATATAATAAAACACAAATGCACATATTACAAAGCATTGAGGCACGTCAAAATATTTTAAGATAAATCCCGTATTATACCTAATAGTTCTCATCCCGGTTGTACTGACGTCACTCAAGTAACAATATGCTCCAGTCATTAATACTTGGATGCCTCCGGTTACCGAGTATGGTATACTGGTTACAACTAGCCACCAAGGACCCAGATGTCCCATACTACTATATAAGACGGTCATCATTAACGACATTGACATACCTAAAATTATTAAGATTGAAAAAAAACTTTTATATGATCCACTGATATATTTGGATAATATATTATATATCAATAGTAAAATAAAAATGTTATAGTACACAGTGGGGAACACTGGACACAATGTGCACGTGCCCAGGGCCCCACGATAGATTGGGGCCCCCTAGTATAGTCTAGTCCGTATTCCATTTCCAAACGATAACCGATACTACTCTACTCTCGCCTGAAAATCAATCTTAACAAATGCTTACCGACTATGGTCCATGGCAAGAACCCCCCTCATCATATAACGACTTTTTAAAATTGCTTTTGCCTGGTTTGTTTTGAAGGTAGGGGATCCCCATATACATCTTTCAAAAACGAGTTTGTCTATACTAACAAAATAGTGCTTTATTACTATGATCATAGGGGCCCCAATATACTAATGTGCCCAGTGCCTCTATTAGCTGAAAGGCTGGTGAGAAAGTGTGAAAATTTAGAGTTGTATGTATTTTTTAATAATACTTATTTTAAAAATTCAAACAAAGTTCGGTAGCACCGGTCAATAAGTATTCGGATACCGTGAGTACTGTGTCTCGCGATATTTCGTTGGACAATCTAACGACGGTAGTTGAACAAAATGCCGGAACCTATCAACATTGACATGTGCAACCTAGTTGAAATGTTGAGAGAGCTATACCTTTATTTAACATAAAATTATTCGTGTTAAAACCCTGTTTACAATATAAATATTACCTAATCGTAAAAAAACATATTAAAAAATAATGAAGCTTTTTGCGTGGGCCTCTCTTTTTGCTTAGCGGTATAAAAACTAGACTAGACAACCTATTCTCAGACCTACCGAGTATACATGTAAAATTTCAACAAAATTCAGTTCAGTTGCGATTCAATAGCGGATAAACAATGTAACAAGAAATTTTTATATGATAATATTTAGATTGTGTCGTATCAACAGCTAAAAGGACTGGTGGAAGATCGTGGAAGGTGGCGGGAGCTCCACCGACAAGAGCACAGCTCTAAAATTATGAATGAATGAATATTTAGATACTGAGTGAAATAAAGGTTTCAAAAATATATTTAGATCACCTTCCTAACTTGCCAACTTTTCTTTTCGACTTGCGATAAAATATCCACAAGTGCTCAAATTAAATATTTTCAATTAAAATATTTTTATGTCATTTCATTACATTAAAATGGTTACCGACTTCAAATCCTATTCCTTCGCACAGCATACATAAAAGTTGCACCGAAATATGACTAAAGTTGAATAATAAATTTAAAGTATCGGTAAAACTTAAATACTTATATCACGACTTAAATGTAGGTATAATTCGAACTTACCAAACAAAGGCCATACTATCAACGGTTTGCGCCCGTGAGTGTCAGACCATACACCAAGAAATAAGGATAAAAAAGCGGGCCCCAGTGATTCGATAACCGTGATCACGGTGGACACATATGTTACATATTTCTGCACTTCTTCTTCCAAATGATTCGTCTCGTTTGTTTGGACTGGTGAGAGAAAACCACGACATTCGTCCACGTCATGATTTAATGAGTGCACACATGTGCGGTACATAAGTACATTTCTTACTGCCGTTCCTGAAAAGATACTTTATGTTATTTATCAAAGGTAGACTATGCACAAAATTGTCTGCATCAACTGGGTCTCGCCTATTTCAGCCACCAAGAAGTTTACTTAGGGAAATGTTTCGGTTGGAAGGGTGAGTTTACAAGATATAGAAGCATGACATTTTAAGGGGGTCTTCCTATGTGATGGGTTGAAAAAATCGATTTTTTTTTTCATAAATTGCTCCCTTAACATGTCTAGAATACGGCAGTAAAGCGATTTTAGAAAATTCGAAGTCGTTTTAAAGATACAGCAGGTAAAAGAAAGAGCGGTTCGGAGCGGTGAGTTGGCAGTTAGAGACCGGGCCTATTGTGTACCGTCGGCTTTATACCTGGCCTCCCTTTTATTAATATATTTGTTTATACAAGTTTAGACACGTTTCTACAGACTTAAACAGAAATTAAGGAATAGGAGGAAAAGGAGCAGGTAAACTTACTGATAAAGTTATCCAAGAAATTACAAAATTCTACGGATTAGCAATTCGACGCCATCCAGATTCGCTTGAAGATATGAGAAAGGAAGTTTGGGCAACGTACTATCACAAATGTTCTTCTGATGAAAACCCTCAGCATCAATTTTGTCCAGAAGGCGAAGACAGTTGGTGTAAATGGCGTAAGGCTGAAGCTAATAATGAACTGGACCAATTTCATCACGATAAACCACCTCTAATTCCGCAAGTCCAAGAAGCTATCAAACCGGTTTTCGAAGATTTATCGAAAGACGAATTATTAATTCGTTGTTTAGGAGCAGAGACACAAAACAATAACGAATCTTTGAATTCTTTGATTTGGACTTTCGCTCCTAAACATCTTCATTCTGGTCCCAAAGTTGTTGAAATTGCTAGCTACTTAGCAGTTATTATTTTTAATGAAGGTTTTCAAGGTATTTTAAAAGTTATGTCGATTATGGGATGCCCTGTTGGTCGTGAAGCCCAAGCGTATGTTGAGAAACGGGATGAAAAGCGAATCTTACGCTCTGAGCGGCGCGTAAGTGATGTCGTTAAACAAGCCAGGATTGACTCAAGAGCTGAACAATCTGCTTTAAAAGAGTTTCACGAGGAAGAAGAAGGAATACTCTATGGACCAGGCATCGCCGATTGAGAGTAAGTTGATATTTTAATACTTTTTAACGGACTTGAAACTTTAAACGCGTTTTTCTCAAAACTGTGTTTTTCAAACTTTCCTCCATTGTATCTCAGAAACGGCTGGACCGAATTACTTGAAATTTACAGGGCACACTCAATATATGTAAACGCATGGAATGAACTATTATCAATCGAAAATTTTCAAAACTTCGATTTTTTTATAGCAAAAAACAAAAAAAAAAAAAACGCCTAATTTGCAACTTTTATTTCAAATGTCTATCAAAAATTCAATTTTTTTTATATTCATTTGATTATAGGTCATTCCGTGCTTTTAAGCCTACAAATTAAAACGCCGTTTTTTTTTTTTTTTCAGACAAGCCGATCAGCCGGAATCGTGGAGGAAGTGGGAGCTCTTTTTTTCGAGGCGGGGGTGTTCAGAGCGCTGTAACTCTAGTTTGACTGAATATTTTTAGCTGAAATTTTATATTTATACTGTCCAAATATGTGTTAATAAATGATAAAAAACTTGAAGCTCTAAATATTTACTGGTCGTAGAAAAAAAATCCTAAAATATCCCTAAAAAACAGGCCGTCACATAGGAAGACCCCCTTAATTCTTCGGAACGATAACATATGACGGCTATGATGGCTTCACATGAAGATGTTTTGTCCATAGTGCCATAAATGTACCTAGGTATTACATTTATGGCAACTGTTGGCGCTGACATACAGTTACATAAGAAAACATAAACAAACATGATAATAAGTCAGTAATTTCGTAGCTTTTAAATTCGTATAATTTATGAGCATTATATCACTGAGGAACATCCTCAGTGATAACCACATGGTTATCTGTAGTGTAGTGTAGTATGTGACTACATAAATATACTACTACTATCTTTATGTATTTTAACTTTCTACTACTGGGACATTGCATGCAAAGAAGTACCTAAATGAAAATATATTTTGTTATGCACATAATAACAAAGCACATAATTACTAACTTAATATTTACAAATTTCCTGTGCTATGCGTGGAATAAGATATTTCTCTGCTGCAAAATTAATTTAATCTAGCTTAAGCTAGATTAAACTTCCGGCAACACAAGAGTGATATGTATATATTCTTTGTAGCTGGCTTGGGGACTATATAACATACAGGCTGACGGACAAAAAACTGTTTGATTCTGTTGCTCTAATAACACTGGCCCCATCACAATTGTATTATATAATATGTATTCACATATAAATTATTGTGCTGTTTATACCGACTTGAGGACAAATGTTAACCAAAGTAGAGAAGGGGATAGGAAGCACAGAAAGTAAAATAGAGTAGAAATCTAGTGACAATGTTTAAAATACTTATTAATGTAAATATTTATTAACAAAATTTCAGCATTTTCAAATGACTTATGTAATAGAATTAATATACTATTTTTTTTGTATGTATGTAATTTATATAATAAATAACATATTCATAAATCTACAACACTAATTTAAATGCAGTTTCAGTGTTAAGGGATGGGAACTTGATTCTTCTTATTCATATTTGAATGCAAGACTCCCAATTCAATGTTGTCATATAAAAACTAAATTTCAAACAGAAAAACTATCTATTACAGCATATAACAGCAATTAATGATAACAGATTTTCTGTTATCTTTCATCACTGTTTTTAACATAAGTTTTATGTAAACTCTTTCAGAGTGTGAGTACATTATCTTAGACAAAAGTTTTGAGTTACATTTTGTAAGTAAATTTTACCAATATAAAATTAGTTTCATGAATAACTTATTATAAACTAAAAACAATTTAAGCCTTTAAGTTTTTCCTTATGCACTCTCAAATCAAGATATCTGGATCATTACAATTAACTTTAATTAAGTACATAGTTATTTTGTACAAAACATTAACAATTAATAAGATTCTATCTCAAAGAAATCATTCACTTGACAGGCTAGCATTGACTTTTTTGTGATGCATACCATAAATAGAAGTCCTCACTCATTTCATGATTGTATATCATGAAATGAGTGTACTACACTAAGTTCAGTTAATATGAAAAAAAATTTATTTGCTGCACTGTCACAGATAAATTGCTGAATTATGAAGAAATTTGGTACAGCAATGGAACCCTGGAGATAATTATAGATTATATTTCTTATGAAAACAGTAACAGTAACAACCCCCAGGTGGCAGGATTAAATTCTCTTAGGGTGACTAATAAAATTAAAATAACTTAACCTAATTTAAAAATGACATTATGCCATACTTGGAAGAGGAAGAAAGGGGGGTGGGAGCATGTAGTCATACTAGAAGAGCGACATAATGTCATGCCTATATAGGAACTCAGCAAGCCCTTGGCAGTGGCGCAACACTATTGAGGGTCATTGTCAGCGCGGCTGAACATGCGCAGCGCAATCTCCTCCACCTAGGGGATGAAATCGCGCGAAATCACTTCATTCCGGACATATCGTGCCGCTCCCGTGCTCAAGCGAAGAATGACACAGGCGACAGTTGCTGGGCCTGCAGCTGCCGCCTTAGCGTTGACTAGTGCGTACCATGTAGCGGTCAACTAGGTCAACCGCGAGCGGACGTACGTGTTGTAGATGAAGACCCTCGTCCATAGCAGCAGCCTTGAAGTCAGACGTCACGCACAGGCCTAGTCTGGCTGATACCTCGCTCGACCTACGGCCCGAAGCACCTGAGTGACTGGTCCATGTCGATCCCGAGGTATACCACGGTTCGAGCAATACCGCAGGTAATGGAAATAATATTAGGAACAACTTACCCGACAGTGTCAATCCCATCATAGTCAAAAATATAGCAAATTCCAATACAATACTAAATGGCTTTCCCGGTAATTCGCTAATTCTCATTGTATTGGCATTGGCATTATTATTAGTTTCAATAAGACGTTCTTCGTCTTGAGCCATTGTGTATATCTTTTAGACATAAAAATTTTACCTAAATTAGTTTTTTAAAGTCAAAATGACATTGGATTATCAAATATTACATAAAATCCAATGTATTTCACTTGCAAACAATGAGCATTCAGAAAAATATTAGAACTAGAACTTTTATTTTATGTACATCATACTACAAAAAATAAACACCACGCGCACCACAGATAAACACGGTCCGCAATCAATAAAGTAAAAAAAAATATAGATATATAAAGAAGACTACGTTCAAAAAAGTGTTAGATACACTAAAATAAAATTACTATTATGACAGACTATTCTGAGTTGGCAACATATAATTATTATATGGATTGTCGATGGCTGGCTGTGCAAAAAAAAAAAAGATATTGTCTATGTTCAAAAGACGGAAAGTTGTGGAAGTTAAAAAGCTATTGGGCGTTTGCATTGAAATCTAACGTTTTTGGCAATAGTGGTCTATAGATTATTTGAAATATAAACAACGTAAGGTTTTAAAGTTATCATAAAACAGGTAAGTTCTGTAAAAGTAATACTAAATCCTTAAAAATGTGCCTGTGATACATCTGCCCGAGTTAGCGATGACTTGTCAATCATAACCATATCCCTCTGCGTTTACTGTTATTTTTTACAAGTAACTATTTATCAGTACATTTTCCATAAAGGTTTTTAAGTGAATTATCCATGAACGTATATAGTTGCGTACATAATTTCTTCATTTACAAATGTACCGCTACCTATTTTTAGACCTGCATGTCTCGGTGGTACGCTATTGTCACTTAGCGGCGTCTTAACAATATAGAATAAATGTATTTGTTTATTTTTTTTTTCATGGGAATGTTTATATGCGTCAAGAAAACATAATATTATTGAATAAATACGTGTACATTCGACGAGTTAACTTTATGTATTTAATCAAATTTTAGGTAAATCTATCGTGATGGCAGTAAACGTGTATTCTACGAATGTTACATCGGAAAACCTTTCACGCCATGATATGTTGGCGTGGGTAAATGACTGTCTTCAATCAAACTTTGCCAAAATTGAAGAACTTTGCACTGGGGCCGCATATTGTCAATTTATGGACATGCTTTTTCCTGGCAGTGTACCTATGAAAAGAATTAAATTCAAGACAAATCTAGAACATGAATATATACAGAATTTCAAAATATTACAAGCCGCCTTCAAAAAAATGAGTGTTGATAAGGTACTGTATTCCTGTATTTCATAAAATGATTGTTATATTAGGTAAACTTCGTCCAAGTTGTCTATGTGGGTCTTTATCTCACCTATTTCATCTACCAAGCAATTTGATTTGTAAGCTGTGTTTTGGTTAAAGGATGAGATATTGTATTGAAATTATGCAGTACAGAGGCATCACAACTTGGACTAAGTTGTTCTGTTTGCCTAAAAACTAAAGTATACTGTATACTGTTCAATTTTACATAACCAAGCTGAAAGAAAGTACAGAAATATTACATGATAATATTTTGTCCATATCCAACACCTGTAGTGCATGCATGAAATATTGGATTTTCAGTTATGTAACAGCTATCACAAATAGTAAAAAGTAGTACCCAATATCCATTATAGGAACAGCACTGTGGACAATACAAGATACGTCATGGTAGCCATGGAACACCTCACATAGGTTACCTAGAATACTTTTAAATAATGAAAGGGGTTTTAAATAGAGGCAATGTATTTTTATTTAGTTATTTCAATAAAATATTATTCTAGGTAATACCTGTGGATAAGCTGATAAAAGGAAGATTTCAAGATAATTTTGAGTTTTTACAGTGGTTTAAAAAGTTTTTTGATGCCAATTATGATGGTCGTGAGTACGATGCTTTTGATGCCAGAGGTGGTTTCACAATCGGCTCAGGAGCTTGTGAATTGGGTGTGCCACTCTGCGTTGCCGGTCCACCGCCCACAAGAGTTCGTCGGGCAGCTCCTATTCATCATTCTGGCAGTACGCATTGACTGCATAACATTTGCACTGCAACTTTTGCACCATACTACAAAATCTTTATAAATATTTGAATGAAATTTGCTTAGTTATTAACTATGTATTTATCAGTCCAATAAGAAATTAATATTCACTTACTTTTCACAAATAATTTTATTACAGTTTGTAAAGATTTTCCAAGTGTGGTAAGTTAAATGGTTCTTCCACACAGGTAGTCAGCACCGCTGTAGTCTGTCAGTTCTTTTTATTTTTACCTTCTTTTTTTTTTGTAGATAGTACCAATTGACAAACTGGTGAAGGGTCGTTTCCAAGATAACTTTGAATTTTTGCAATGGTTCAAGAAGTTCTTTGATGCCAACTATGGAGGCACGGAATATGACGCGGTGGCGCAGCGTGAAGGGCTGCCCATGGGGCACGGCGGCTCGTCCGCACCGCGGTCCGCCGCCGCCACTGCCGTTAAGAAACCAGCTGCGCCAGTCGCCAAAGTTGCAGCTAGACCCCAATCCAGTACTATATTTTGTTTTCTTTTACCATTGAATGTTGCTTCCTTTATTTTGCATTCAAACTATACAATATGTTTATTATAATGGAAATTTTAAAACAGAATCAATTAATAAACTTCAAATTGTAAGGAACCATTGCCCACAAAGTACATAAATATTTTTTCCTCTAAAATACATATGGAAGCTCAACATATGAATAAACTATATTGACTTATTATTCTTGTAGACTGTTTCACTGCATGCACATATTTATTCATATGTGATTAATCTATTTGCACAGCATGTTCTATTTTCCGTTCATTTTCAACAGATCGTCAATGAAAATTATGATTCATATATAACTATTCTTATAGGTGCTGAATACATGTATACATGCAACTTTTATTGACATTTTTTTAATATATATACCTAACCTTGTTTTTCTGTTTATGGCAGTCATGTTATTGCTTGTTATTCTTCATCATCATCATCATTATTGTACCCAAAATTTTTATTTATAAACTAATATAAAAATAAGAAGAGAATCCTAATAAAAGAAAAAAAAATCCAGTAACCATAACAAATATATATATATATATATATATGCTTTGAAATAAATATTCCACTGTTTAATGCAATTATTTTATAAATATATTGAAAGAATTAATTTAGATTTTAGATTAGTGCGTAATTTCGATTTCGCGCAGTATGTAATGTGCATAATTTCGGGATGTATAATAAAAATCTTCCATATATACTTTATAAATGAAACCAAATATCAAACCATCGGTTTAGTAGCAACCCCATAAAACAGTGCAAATAGTGATTTATCTTAAGTATTAGTATGACGGTTTTCTTTCACACTTGTTTAATTTTAATTTACATGGTGTTTTTGCAGTTCTCAAAGCAAACAGCACAATACGGTCTCCACCTGTCAACTCATCAAGGTTAAATCAAAGTGGAAAAGGCGACTCGAAACTTGTTGATGAACTCAACCATCAGGTAATGTGTTGATTGTGAACATTTAATTTTATAAATTCATGAGTGTGGCGCCTGACTGATTTTGACGCTTTTGCGTTTCTGTACTGAATCTGAACAGATTATTTAATAAGTGCATGTGTTAAATAACATTGTTTATGAGCTTTGAGTATTTAGGATTATAATATTATAGGTATTTAATCCTAAATACTCAAAATTTATGACTGAATCCATACAGTAAAAATAGTCTTTACCAAGCTTAAACATGAGTCTAATGAAAATTCATCTGTGCTACCAAGAATGGGTTGACGAGAGCAGCAACTTCGAACCCTGATCAATACAAACAATCATACTCATCAATACAAATGTTTGTACCTTAGGAATCGAACCCGCAACCATTGGAAGTAAGGCGGTGTGTTATACTGCCATACCACCGAGGCCGTCAATCAAAAGTATAGTGTTAAAGGATAAATCTATATTCATAAATATTGTGTTATTTGAGAAAATCAACTCATCATTATAATCCTTTAAATATTTTAACAGGTGAATGAATTGAAAGCAACCGTAGATGGTCTTGAAAAAGAGAGGGATTTTTACTTTGGAAAACTGCGAGATATTGAGGTTATCTGTCAAGAGATGGAAGACCAACAGAATGCTCCGATTGTTCCGAAGATTTTGGACATATTATATGCCACTGAGGTAATTATAATTAATTATATTTATCCCTACTTTGGGTATTCACCACTGCCAGTAGCAAACGGCCACAAAGGAATAATGAACTTGTTCTACTGTGCTGCTTGTAATGCAGGCACATAGAATTCTTTGACCACGAGTCAAAGAATTCTATAAACTGAAACCGTAAATGTGAATGAAAACTATAAATAATCCCCTATGTTAGATTATTTATAGTGAACAACTTAATTACTTTTATTAAGGGAACAAATTGAAATTTAATTTTTATGGCGCGCCGCACATAATGTTAGACCTATTAATAATGTACATAACTTTATTTATAACAAACACTAGAATAAAAAATTATAAAATTTAAAAAAGGAAACATTCCTATATTAATTTTAATGCAAACATAGCTATTTCATGTTGTCACTTTGTTTTGGTTTAGTACATATTAAAGTGAAACAATTTTGTGTTATAATAATTTTATAATAATATATTGATAAAAGAAATCGAAAAATAATATCATTTATAAAGTTTTGAAATCCTTACTGGGTCGAATTAATGTCAGTTAAAAATTAAAAAAAATATATTTTGATACAAGCTTATTTTTATTAATGAAAAATACCTATACTTTATTAATTTTGTATTAATGAGTTAAATTATTTCTGTGTAACCTCTAAATATAATTAATATTAATTTCCGATAGTGCCACAATTATTTAAACATGCAGAAACCTGTCCCCGGGATTAAAAACCGAGCTATAGTAGATACCCAGTATAACATGTCTCCACCTGTCAAGTGTACATACACTAAACAATGGTAATCATAAATGTAATACAAAGAATATTCTTTGTAATTCTGTAATTGTCAGTATCATGCCACATATCATGTAATTTTTATATGTTTCTCTTACATATATGTATTATAAACTTGACAATTTTAGGTTTATCCGTTTATACTCTATTCCTTTTTTCAGTTCTCACTTAGCTTTCAGGATTAAAGGTAGAGTGTAAAATTACGTTTTATCAACTTATTTCATTACCTATTTGGAGCTCAATTTGTTGTAGTATGTGATTTTATGGAAAACGTTGTTGTTACAGGATGGATTCGCACCTCCCGAGGAGATAGACGGTGACAACCCCCCTCCGCCCGAGGAAGACGAATATTGAAAAAAATATATATAACATAAAAAAGCGTATCATAGTGCTATTTGTATATTATCAACTCGAAATTATCTCGCTTACAAATCATCGACAGTATCGAGTGCTTAGTATTTCACAGCCAATGAGTCGTCGCTGAATGTATAACTTACAAAACAGTGCCCCCAAAATAACTGACGTTATAGGTACCTTCATAAATATATTAGGCGAAAAGGTGGTCAACAATATGTGTAAGCAATGTACCAACTTATTGCAATCAAAGTTGTTAATAGTTACTTTGTCTCAATCACTGATTGTGTTGAAGAAAAAATTCTACCACCTCGTTTGAAACGGAGCTGGCCAGGACAGCTAAAAATAGATAGCAACCTAATCTCACTGTTTTTGAATAGTGTTTACATTAATGATAATCAATTCCAGTTACATTTTATAGCTTTTATAACTATGTACGTTAGGGTACAGCTATTTTCTTAATTAAACTGTTTACAGTACTTGGAATATTTTGCAGATTTTTTATATGTTATGGTTGTTCTGACAGCGCGGCAGCATATATAAAATTCAATTGATGTTCCCTAAAAACAATTGAATAACTTTAAATTTATGGTATGTACGAAGTAGACTGTATCATGCACAATACCCAATTATTAATATAATATACTGTCTACTTATCGTATTATAGAATTATTTATATCAATATATGCATATGCATCTGGCTATATTGCGATACATTGCTGTTATGCACATGGCTGTGTTATAGTTAAGTACAATCGTTCATACTCAGGAGCGTTGTCTCTCGACTGAATTACTTCGTATTTTTGCTGTTTTTTTAAGTATCCATCGTAATTCCATTGTGTCCTTCATAAAAGTGTTATTTACAGATTTAGGTCTACAGTAATTTGTAATAAGTAGACTCGATGTTGACAATCGTTACATTTTTGGACCACTGATGCCTAAGCAACGTGCATTTAATAGGTTGTTAATATTGGAAGAAGTTTAATGTTAATTGTTTATTCTGTTATGCCGCAGTTTAATGAATATTTGGTACTAAATTATCATTATTAAGATGACAGTGATTATTAGATCTGAATGTTTTTACACAACACAATTATTAGCAACGAGACAAAAAGTGTAGAATATTGTTGAAAATAGATGGTGAACTGTTTCATATATACATCCTTGTGATATATCTACCTATCCATGATTTAGGGTTAAACAAACACAAGACTTGAGTGTGCACTAGTAAATGTAACTAATAAATTATGGAAAAATGCTAATATTCAAAATAATTTTATGTATTTTTTAATGTATACGCGAAATATCGCAAAAACTAACGACTTGTTGGCAAGAAAGACATTAATCGCTGTTTAAGACAAAATAGATAATTAATTTATTTACTTTAGCAGTCGTACATTGCCTTAACGGCTGATATTAATTGCCTCTGGTTCTCAGATTGTGAATGTCTTGTCAAATAAAATAACTTTATTATAATTTTTGTATCATTGTATTTATCTTCCATAAAACCGCCTCGCCATAAAAAATATATATACGATACACTGTACATACAAAAAGCATGTACAGAAAAATGTTTTTGGTGGCAAAATATGTTTTTAGGTATAATTTGAATGACAAACAGTATACAAGCCCTACCTACCAACAATGTTATAAATAATATTCAATTATAACAAATTAAAACCAACTATTTTTAAGTTATCATTAACACTAGCAACTGTAGATCTCTAGAACTCTTAAATGCTCATACAAATTAGCAAATCCACAATTTTTACTCCTAAGAATTATTAAGATTGTTAGATACTATTACATAATCATGTCCTTTTCAGTAAGTGGCATTTGTTACCTATATACATTAACAGCCCACACAAACATTACGTGATCATTGCCATCGCTGTGTGTGTCATTCCGGTTTGCACTTCATAGGATATGAAATTTGACTATCATATGCAAAAATGTAACTACACCAATAGTTCCATCATGCTGTCATTAAGCTCTCAGAAGTTTTACGATATGTATTTTGGTGTAAACGCACCTACACAGAGTTACTTCCTATATGGTTAAATTGCAAAATTAAAACTTTCATTGATGTACGAATTAATTCCATTTTTCTTTATCCTTTTCTTGTACATACTTGTTATAATCCGTATGGATATATGTGATCTAAATTCAGAGGCGGATTATCCGTAAGGCAAACTAGGGACGCGCGAGCTCAGAATTTTTAAATAAAATAAAGAAAATAACATATCGACGATTAAGAACTAAATGCTGATCTGTAATAGATGGTATTGCACAAGCACCGATATACTCGTATTATGCAATATTGCCTGACATAGCTTTAAGAATGTGCGTATAGACGACAGTCAGTAATTGCAGCGTGAAGCGGAGTTTTTCCTGCCAAAAGAGAGTGAAAAACTATCTTCACTCAACCATGACAGATAAGAGATTAAATTCGTTAGCAATACGAAACATTGAATCTACCTTATTGCTGTCTTTAAACTACGACGATGTAATTGACAATTTCACGAAACAAAAATTTAGACGCAGAAATTTTTTATTTTTTAAATTGTGTTTGTTAGTCTCTTACTACTTATTTATATTTTTTCTTAATAATAAATTATTTAGGCCTTTGTAATAATAATAATAATATAATTATTTGTCAGAATATGGTATGTACAATGGTGGTAATTATATATAATATATGTTTCATCATATTCTGCTGTTTCCAGCGTACAAATATTAATTATGTAATCCAAGCATTATAAATTCTAAACATTAGTCATTCACCATAACTTCTTTCTTTAAAAACATTATGGAATATAATAGAATGTCAATATATTATTTTAATTCTAAATAATAAAATTGATTGATACTATTTCGAAATACATCACAACCACATTATTACTAGCCGTTATTTGTCATTATTATTAATTGAATAATAACATTTTTCAAATATCCATGAATATACACGTTTTTTGAAGAATGTTTTATTGAGACTTAAAATTGTCTGGTACCTAATTTATTATTAATACGGATCGCCATGCAATATTAATTATTTGAATAAATGGTCAATTTCTGCCTAGGATTTTGAATTTTATAAATATTAGTGCTCCTTTTGCTCAGTGTCGTGCTTTTCTGAAATGAATTTATATTAGTATGGACAAATACACATATGTGATAAATATATAGGTAGCGGTAATATCTTATTTGCTCTGCATAATGGCTTGCAACTATCCCGCGTCTTGGTACAACAAATACTGATTATAGTGTTCACTTATTTGTTATTTATGTCTTCTTGTATGTAAGTTGTTATCGACGTAATATCGGCTCGTTAGCCATAGCTCCACGTCTTTACTCCGCGGCGCTTGCGCAGGGAATCCCTTCCCTCTTGCGCACGGCGGTCCGTGTACGCTCGGCTCGAGACGATAGATAATAAACTGCTAGTGTTTCCACATACACTACATCTCTCTCCTTTTTAAGTTTATTTTCTTTTCAAGCATGAATCAATCCACTCTATTAGGTATTTGTTCCTTGGAGGCATGTGTGCTACGTTACAACGATGGTGGACTCATTTTGACACTATACTGCCACACATAAGCCGAATGCCTCTAGTGCGATTGGCCTTTCCAGCGTAACCAGCACCGTGATTTTTCCTCCTCTTTTGAATATAAATTACATTTATATATTAACTCCAATTTACTCTGTGTTTCACATACTTCACCTTTCTTCTTTTATATTTGTTTTCATATAATCGTTATTCCACTTTGTTATTGTGTAATATTATGTAAGATTAGTATAAAGCACTTCTGAAAAAATGTTGTATGTTTATGACCAGAATATCTCTATCATAGTAGTCACTACTTTATATTTTGTAGGTTTAAGGTAAATACTTATATTTTTTTCCATTCTATCTGTCTCATGCAACGTGTTATTTACATGTAGTATTTTTCTTTATCATGTACATTTGAAAACTGATTATCTAAAACATAATCTGGAATTTCTTCAAAACTCCCCACTATTTATTATTATCATTCCATAAAATATTGATGGGTCCTGTGGTGGTATACCAGAATATTATTATTATATCAAGAGTTGCATCAACAATTGCAAACGACTTTCCACTATATTCTGTTTACACATCTGATATCAGTCCATGTAGTATTAATTGGGTATAACTATAACCATTCTTCATCGTACCAAAATTATCTCTCTTATCACCTGCTTTAATTTAGTGCTAAAATATTAGGAAAGGTTATCAGACCAGTCTTTGAGTGATCGACATATACCACATATATCACCACAGCGACTCTACGTACTCCAGCAATCGTCAATTATATTAGTTATAGAAATTATATTTTCGACCAAAATTAATTTGTGTCCTATGACTTTTGATTTATTATATTTTACTGAATCCGCTCCATTTCACTCCGATAATTAATATGCATTAAAACTGGCAATTTTTTATTACTTATATTCAACCGCAATTTAATGCAACATTCTATCAATTTACCTTTAATGAATAGGACACCATTCATCAATACACAATACAATGCTTGATGACCCCGCCAAAGACAATTTAACACAAACTGGACGTTAATACGCAATTTAATGCTTAACGACCCAGCCAACGCAATTTAATGCAACCTGTCCGCCAATACGCAATTTAATGCTTGACGGCCCAGTCCAACGCAATTTAATGCAATCTGTCCATCAGTTCGCAATTTAATGCCTGATGGCCCAGCCAACGCAATTTAATGCAACCTGTCCATCAGTTCGCAATTTAATGCCTGATGGCCCAGCCAACGCAATTTAATGCAATCTGTCCATCAGTTCGCAATTTAATGCCTGATGGCCCAGCCAACGCAATTTAATGCAACCTGTCCGTCAATACGCAATTTAATGCTTGACGGCCCAGTCTACCTTACCTCTGTAGCTCCTTTTTTAGAATATCAATGCTATTGTCACCGTCATTATAACTCCATTGAACTTCTTAATTCATCCTCTTTAAGGATTGGTTATTAGTATTATGCTCATTGTTTTTCTTCCTTTGCTAATTTCTTTAAGGTCATCTGAGCCAATAGTCACTTTATAAGCAAATCATGAACTCCTGCAAAACACCAAATTTTATAATTATAGCACAATTAAACGCCACTCTTATCCATTTAATTTTCACAATATATACATTTATGACTACTAATATTAAACATATTTCAGATTTATTTACTCCACAAGAATGTCCAGTAAATAATTCTAATCTAAAGTATAGGAATACTAATAGTATCCTCAGAACTATTTTATTTTTCCAATAATGTATCGTTAGTAATTGTTACTATCATGCATCATGGTTTACATTATTATCTAGTAATAATAATAATAATTGTGCAGCCATAATATAACGCACCTCATTCACAATAATATACCTCGTATATAACGACTTCCTTGATTTAACTAATTCTTTGTAATCCCTTGGATTTTCCATAAGAATCGATGTAAAATATACCTTTACATTGCGACATTATTATTATTTTTTTTTTAATTTGGAAAAACCCCTCATTCTAAGGAATTTTCTTAACCCAAAACCTTTATATAATGTTCCCACCAATGGTATGACTCTAACTCTACTTATCTCTTATCTCATAAAATGTGATTCATGTCAGGACATGTTTCGACGTACTTTTGTTCGTAGAACAATAATTGTTGTTCGATGGAAAATAATGTAAAGTTTTGTAAACACTGCTGCTCGTCACTATTGTTAAAGATTCAAGTTGAAATGGCTTAGCAGGTTTTTTTTTTACCTTTTTATAACGAAGTTTAGACCAACGTACCTTCAACATAATAAATCTCAGTTCAACGAATTACTTGATATACTATATATATATATATATATTTTTTCGATTTGTTTTATCGAGGTTGCACTGTAGTACGTATGTAAAAGTTAAAACACGCTAATTTGTCTTTGGCTACCCTGCAATGCGGCCAAAGTATTTAGAAAACGACCAACACCAGTACTATTACGATAAACAAATACATGTATATATTTTACAAATACTACAATGAAGCAGGTATCATTTCCTATTAGCTATCTCAAAACTCAAAACCACATTAATACACTTATTTCGCGTATCGCGACACTACACAACTCCAGCCGCAACTGGATTAACTGTCAATTAAAAATGACTCCTCATCGCTCCAACATCCCCGTCACATTCATATAAAACAGCTGTCAGCGCTGTCTGCATGTGATCACAAAACAAATTCTAACTCCATTCCACAGCTACTAAATGCGGTACATTAATGCAATTATGGCTATTATTCCTATTATTTATTCAAGCTTCTTTAAATAAAGAATATTCATATTCTATTCCATGTTCCCGAAACTTCAAAGAATATAAAAACATTTTTTTTTTTTTTTCCACTCTAATAACCCCTTCACTCATCCGCATAATGCATTAGGCGAGTAGGTACAATAATTCAGAACTTAATAGTAGTTCTATTTCATGTAACCATTATTGTGCAATTTCTAATTTACTGGTATTTTTAAATTAGAGAGAATCTTAAATATGATTCCATAAAGACATACTCATCACCACTGTACTATACTATAGCTTATTATTAAAAGTTAATCACTGTCATTGCTGTAAAAATAATAGAATAATTCTATATACATAATTAGGTATCCTTTTTCTCGTTCTAGTGTTACTGACTATAGAAACCACACACCGCATACAGAAACAGCACCCCTGTACCTTACATCCGGCCATAACTAGCGACACACTTCCTCGCAATATAATAGTCGGCATCTCAACCTCTTGACTACGTTGTTTTTTGTTTTTCTTCAACAAATTCATTAGACACTAAATTCACCAAACCAAAAGATTGCCTTCTAGGTCGCAAGTGTAGATGCGCGCTTCATTTTAACACAAAGCACAAATTGTTAAATATATGCCAGACAAGTAGATAGGCACCTTGCACTACACAACATGTATAGTAGACCCCAACATAATATATCAAACTAATAATTAATCTCCATTTAAAACCTTCCTATGCAGAACAATTGCAATTCCCACCGGCATCCATTGGAATGCTCACTAATAATTATTATTTATAAATTATATAATCCATAAGCCAAATAAAAACATTTTAACCACACTACTTCGCGGCTCTGCTCGAATACCAGAATAAAATAGTCTGCAGGTATTCCGAACAACTCATCCGCATCGAAATGTATGGGACACTGTTACCCAGATACTTCAACACTTGCAATCAATTAAGGCAAATATAAATATTGTCCACCAAGCACTGCTCAAACCGTGTGTGTCACCCCACTTTAGATTTTACTATTGTTGTTTTGTATATAATACCCAACATCAGTACTATAATGCAGGTACAATTGTCAGCTCCCCATCATTTGTAATAATATCGTATCACTCGACAACATCGTAATATTATCCCGTACAAAATGTAATATTAGGTTATCATGTGATCCTTACAGTTAGAAAGAGGAACTTTAGACCACTTCCATTTGCAGCAATACCCTAAAAGAGAATAGTGACATTTGAACACTAGTCACCACATCTGTATAAATACAATAAGGCGGCCCTATTGCCAAAAATAATTAAAGTGCATCGACACCTAGAAAAGATAAAGCAAAACAAACGTGTCGTCCGCACAGTGCTCTATTTTACTTCATACCCACAGGTCTATTGCATCACATAATATGATGTCCCACTAAACATCTCACCGTCACCGTCCTCTCATGAAACGAACATGCAGCGGCAACTACAATCATTACCGATTTTTTATTTCAACACGGAAATACGGAAGGGGGAATGGGATTGTTAAAATAATCCCACTACTAACAATGTATCACGCCAGAGGGACCTCCACGCGGCTCCCCCAGAAACAATCGCGACAAATTAACACGAACCCACCACGACGGGCCTACCGATCCTATCCCCCCCCCGCGCTCATTCAACCATACTCCATCAGTGCCACGTCAGCGCAGGCAGTACAACATTATGAAATGAAATTCTTGTCTCGAATAGAAATATAGATATTTTCCATTCAACGCTGGTCCAGTTCCGGAGACAATTAAATTTCCACCGTAAAGAGACAAATTATATTTAACATTGTACCAATTTTCTTTTCTTTAATATAAATAAAATCCTGTTAACATGATAATTCATTGCATTACGTAGTTATATATCATTTTCTATTTAGTTTACTTTTTATTATATAACCTTATCTAGCTATCTAGCGTATATTGAATGCGTCTATATAATTTAGCTCTTAGGCATACATAGTGTTGGATTACAATCCAGTTCTGTACCGAACTACACGCTCCTAATTATATTATTATATTGACTGTAATCTGTTTTGTATGCTAATAAATAAATTATCACACATTAAAAATAATAAATCACGGATATACGTAAACATATTACTACAATGATTATTAATACGACTATTCCTACCAGCTAGAGACACTATAGGTATAGCAAGTACAATTTATAATTAGGTACCTACTTACTTGGCGCAAATCGATCGTAAACCGATGTTACCCAGCTATTGTTTTTTCTGTATAGGTCTATATAATTCGCTCCCCGTGCGGCCCCACCATAATCCTTCTAAATTTGTAATTACTCCGTACCCGTAGGTATATGTATATCTTATTAAATGATTTTGTACTTATCTTTATTTATATCCATTTTGCCTCGTCGCCACATATAGTGTTCACTTATTTGTTATTTATGTCTTCTTGTATGTAAGTTGTTATCGACGTAATATCGGCTCGTTAGCCATAGCTCCACGTCTTTACTCCGCGGCGCTTGCGCAGGGAATCCCTTCCCTCTTGCGCACGGCGGTCCGTGTACGCTCGGCTCGAGACGATAGATAATTAACCTGGTAGTGTTTCCACATACACTACACTGATGCATTTCTTTTGTCTTAAATGCCTTATGTATTTCTACTGAGTTGCCCCATAAAATTATTCCATATCACAGATTAGATTCTACGTAGCCTCGATATGCTGAAAGGGCTGCTAAATGTGTTTCTGTCTTTTTAATACGATTTAGAACGTATACAAATTTGTCTAACTTTTTGCATATGATATTAATATTTTCATTCCACCTACAGTATTTATCCACTACTATTCCTAAAAATCCTTCATATTGATGTTCAAATTGTTTGTTTCTAGCCAGTCTATTACAGATAATAGTTGATTGTTAATTTTTGTTTCATAAGATATTTCGTTTTTATTCTGAATAAGTAAAGTAATGTCATCTGCATACAATACACACTCGTAGTTAAGAATGTTAAGCAAATCATTAATATATGCAATAATCAAAAGAGGGCCCAATATGCTGCCTTGAGGTACGCCAAACCTATTCACTGCGTATTTGGATCTATATGTTTATTTACGCGAATTTAATGTTTTCGTTAGTTCTGTACACTGTCTTCTTTCGCATATATATATTTTTTTATACTACTATGGTGGCAATCAAGCATACGGCCCATCTGATGGTAAATAGTTACCGTAGCCTATGAACGCCTGAAACACCAGGGGTATCACTTGCGCGTTGCCGACCCTTAAGAAACCTTAATATACCCTTCTTGAAAAACCCCATGCTGTAGTCTCGTGGGAAAACCTCGGCAGGAAGTTTATTCCACAATCTAAGTGTACGTAGTGTGTGTAGTGTACGCGGGAGGAAACTCCTCTGAAACCGCACTGTTAGGGACCACTTAGTTTCCAGTGTGTGGGGATGAATTCCCTGTCGATGGCGAGCGGTGCGGTGGTAAAAGGTGGCTGTCGGCATCATGTCAAACAATTCCTCAGAACACAGTCCGTTGTATAATCGGTAGAACACACAAAGCGAGGCGAAGTCTCGCCTCAAGCTGAGTGGCTCGATACCGCGAGAGAGATTGGGATCATCGACAAT